ATCTCTTTTTCACAATAAATGAATCCATCTTTTTTTAAATATCAAATCTATGTTATGATAAAAAGTAAAGCATGATAACTAGTATGATAACCAGTGCAGAACAGAATGTTTGATAACAACTACAATAAGATAACAAAGTATATAGTGCTCTAACTTGGTTCATAATATAAATTATCAAAATATCAATATTAATATTGATACAAAAGCAAACTTGTACAACATTTTGTGTACAGGCAAAAAAAAAAGGTCTCACATAAATACTTGGAATGTATGATTTACAATTACCAATTGATAATTAAAAAAACAATCATGTTATATTTCTATATTTCTGAATTGTAACAGGGTATGAACATTTCCCACTTGCAAAGTACAAATAAACTTTAGATGCCAGGAATATAATGAGTCGTAATTTTTTCTAGTGCTCTCACAATACTAGGAATTAAAGCATGGCACAATGATGCACAACTTTATTAATTTATTAGTCAACTTAATTAACACTTTCACGTCTGGAAATGAAAACAAAGTTGCTGGTGCAAAAAGAGTTTACTCACCCACGTCTGGGTTAATAAACCCTATTGCATATTCAGGATAAGTTGACATATGCACGTCTGCATGTGCAAACTTTACCTGCTGAACCAAGGAATATTAAGAGCCATTTTGAAATTGCTTTTTGTGTGCAATTTAACAAACGGATCTTTATCATGTATAATTCCATATATTGTTGTGCAGAGACTGATAAGCAACACGTGACTGAGACTAAATTCCATCTTCAGTCCCGAGATGAATTTGATTTTTGTTTTTCTCTAAATTCCTCCATCTGGAATTTTCTGCTTAAACAATGCAAGTGGGATGCCTAACAAATTTTTTTTTTTAAATCTTCAAAAGATCAAACTTTAGATACAAGACAAAAAAGACAATTCGGATAATAAACAAATTTGAACATTAATAAGGAAAATTATACATTTTCATGTACTTTGCATAGTCTAAGATAGTAATAAATACTGCTAAAATAGTAATAAATACTGGTGAATAATATAATGGCACTGATACTAATTACCATACATTAAAAATATTACACAAAAGAACTTGAAGAATAAATGGGAAACTTAAGCCAGTTTGACTTTTCGATTACCTTAAATTATCAAGGTGATCATGAACCAAATATTGCCCATACAAAACAATCTGGTTTAAATCATTTAAATCTGAAACCTATATTTATTTACACTAATTCATTACTTAATTTTTTCAAAACAGTTTATTAAACAATCAATGTCACAACCATGTGGCTGAATTGCACAATCAAAGTCGGAGCTAGAGATTATCTTAAGATGTTGTGACTATGGCAGGAGTTGTCCTCTAATGTCATTAATAATGAAGGTGCATTGTAGACAAAATGGTACTTCTTTCAATAGGAATGTGCACGTTGCTCTATTTGATTACTAATTTAAAGTCTTTTTGTTTGTAGATTGTTTTGTCCGTTGATCATTAATTTCTTGAAGGCAATAATATATAAGATACATTTGTATGTATGTCATTGTAAAGGTTATACTGCATCAAAAGGTGTCCAGATATATTGGATCAAGTATCTACGAGCAATAAATACGTCCCAATATTTAAAAAAATGTATTAAATGAATAAAAAATGTACAAACATTCTCTAAGCAACTCTGAATTTGATAACTTATAGTTACAAAGAAATAGAAGAACAAAATCTTGGCATAATTGTGATGAAATCTTTAGGAAATTATTAAAATATAATATCTAGATTTAACAGTCATAGATTACAAAGAGTAAGAGGGGGAAAGGAGGAGGGGCTATTACTTAATCTGAAACCTATAATAGCAGTATATAAAGTGTATTATTTATAATAAGTGTAATCATAGTGTAATGGAAAAAGAGAGAGAGAGAGAGGAGGAGTGGCATCTCTTGATTTGAATATGATGTGTAATAAACATGAAAATCTTACATTCAAAAGTCTCAACTACATAATATAATATATTTGATTTGTTTTGATTTGATTTGTTGATCTGTGCGCCAAGAGTGCTATTATGTTGGCAGAGTTGTGCGCAATATAAATGTAGAATTATTATTATTATTACATGTATAAACAAAAATAGAAAGATGGTTGTTCCTTTCAATATGTTTCAGTGTTCAGAAAAGAAAAGAGCAGGTTAATAAGACAAAAATTGTACAACTAATAGAACATGAGAATAGAGCTAGCTGTGAATCTGCTGGAATGTACTATTAACGAAAAATATTCAAATGAGTAAATCAAGATTCAAAATCATGAAGACTAATGTAATATAATTAATACATTAGACGTTTTCTTATGTCTACTTTATTAATGTCTTAAATGGATAATGGGATAGTGGCGATCCTTACGTAATACCTATTGTTCAGGGGGGATGAATGAATAGATCATCCCCCCTGAAAAATTGGTATCAATTACAGATCGACACCCATGATGGGAATAATTTTTGAAAATAAATCGGACATGGAATATCCACAAAAGTAAAGCAATTTCAGAACTAAGAACTACACAAGATAATAGAGGGAGATAAGGGGAATACACTGTACCTCCTGAAATGAATCTAATAAACAACATTTTAAACTAGCAAATCTCTACATTTAACAAAATATAGAGTGACAAACAGAAAACAAGTATAATTCATCTTAATTCTGATTAACAGTATTCAAAAAAGCAAAATCAAGAAATATGAAAAATAATCATTTACAGGAAGAAAGAGAGAGAGATAAAAAAAAAAGAGAAAAAAGAGAGAGAGAGAGAGAGAGAGAGAGAAGAAAGAGAGAGAGGAAGAGAGAGAGAGAGGAAGAGAGAGAGATAAGGGAGCGGGTAGTGAGCACTTTTTTTCTTTTTTTTTTACTCAACACTCAATGTTCAGCATTATATGCAGACCCTTTTCAGTTTTGTAATGAAGATGAGTAATGAACAGGCGGCCTCCAACATTCCTTGGTGAAAAGTATAAAGTCATAATCATTAAACAATAATAGGAGAAGATAACAAAATTCGAGTGAGAAATCCTGCACGCTATTAAAAGATAACTTCCATAGTTCCATTTCATAGTTTAAGGTTTGAAAGTTGAAACTCAATATTGTGTGAAAGTTATAACAGAAAGGATAATCTTTATCTTATATTTGTTATTTATTTTATGATTTATTTATATTCCACTTGGGCGAGTTGTAATTTTGCAATCACTTCCGTGAGCACTCTGAGGCGATTGTGTAGCTCACGGGAGCGAATCGCCCATCGCCCCCGTGTATTTTGAGCACTGTTCGTAAATGATAATCATGTTCATTTTTTTTCTTCTATTCACTCCATGAATTGTTGCTATTCACTCCATGAATTGCTATTCGCTCCATGAATTGTTGCTATTCACTCCATTAATTTCTGCTATACAACTCATTAGTTGTTGCTATTCACTCCTTTAATTGTTGCTATTCAACCCATTTTGGGGTACATTATTCAAACAAGCACAACTAGGCTTGATAAGTTATAAAATTATAGAGACTAAACTAGTTAAATAAAAAATGATTTTATTATTTACTATTTAAATTGAATATACCTCACTTAAGAAATCCAGCCATCTGATTGGTTGAAATTGCAGTCGTGATTTTAGCCATTCCCGTAAAGAAACGAAAAATGTCAAACCTATGTAAGAGTAAAATCCTGGCAAAAATCCAGTTACCGGGAAAATAATAAAATCTTGCTGAAATGCCCATTGGTTTAAGTGTTAACATGTTCTTTGAGCGAGCGCGGATACCATACTTTGTGTGTGTGCGAATTGGTCGCTTAATTTTTAGATTTTTTAATAAGGCGACCGGCGGTCTCGATCGTACTACTAAATCTGGCCTAGATTCTACTTATAGTTTCCAAACAAGGCAAAAATGGCTGAAGAAACTCTTCCTAGATTTCAACTTCTTGATGATGATCAATTGCAAGACTTGATTAATTCTGCTGACAGCAAGAACACCAAAAATTCAGTGAAATTCCCCATAAATATTTTCGAAGATTAGGTCTAGATCTAGACCTGCAAGTTATCATCACAGACCTTGATAGCATAAACAAACTTCCAAATTTGGAGCTGGACAATGTAGGCCTATAGGCCTACTCCAAAAGTTTTAAGCTGGTGCTATAGACGGAAGAACGGTTCTTTATACATGAAGAAGTCATGTTAACTATTAGATTCCGACTTAAGCGTCATTTCCTCAATTCTAACAATGTCAACATGATTAAGCATGAAGATTTTTTAAATTCGACAAGAGTTTTGCAGCAATGCTTAAACACAACCGAAAGAGAGTTGTGACTCACAAACCAGCTATTTCAGCAAAATCCAAGGTTCGCTTGATTTGGATGATCCTGTAGGTCTTCAGGACAAGGTATTTATTGATTTTATCTTTATGACACTCGACAGCTTTGAAATTTGTGAGGAATTAGGGGGGAAATGCTACATCTATACTAGTCCAACTCTCATGCAAACTTCCTCTCTTAAAGCAGTCCCAGATACAACCAGGGACATGTTGCCAACAAGTAAATAATAAAATCAGTTCTGATTTAACTAATTTACCACAATAAAACATATGTATCTACCTATTATTGCTTAGACCAACACAGATAAAAGCAGGGGGCATGTCCCAAACAAAAGTTTGCGGGGGACCAGGCAAAATGCCGCCCTCAAAGACGCTGTAGCAACACACTCCTCACTCGCAGGAATGTAAAGATAACATGAAACGAAAGTTGTTAGGTGAAAGCCAGAAGGCAGCCTTCATAATGACATGAAGCGCTTCCCCATGGAAAAGAGCCCGGGAGGTACCAACACCCCTGGTATCATGTGCACGAGGACGCACACCCTCCGAGAGAGCCTCGGGACCCGCCCTTTGAACCGCCTCAACAAACTATCAAGAGATAGATTCCTTTGAGGCAGGTGAGACGGGCTCCCGCGTGATAAGAAACAGCTGAATGTTGTCAAGGAAAAACCAAAGCCCCAGAGGGGAAAGGAGAAACCGATCCACCTACTGACACCTCTCACAGAGGAGTAGTAAGGGTAGTGGACAGTGGGAGTCTAGCCACCAACGGGCAAAGACCCCGAAAAAGGCCAACAACAGCACAGAGCTTCTCAGAAGCCGAGCTTAGCAAGACGGGTCCCGAAACAAAAAGGGAACCGGAACACCAGAAAAGTGCAACTGAGTCCAGTCAAGACACCCCTAGGGCAGGGGCACAGCCCCCACCAGACCCCTGGGTGCCTGATGGACTTCACAGTCGAAGTCACAATCGGAGACTCTACATCTTAAAGCAAACGCTTCCTACCTTACGCCGAAAGGTCGGGTGACGAAGCCTGCTCAAAGGCCTTACTAAAGCTGGTAGGTTTAGCTACAGGCCCAGCGTGGTCGTTACGACCACGCTACACCGCACCTTAAGCTGAAAAGCTTGGTGCTAGAAGCCACTGTGTGACTGGGGGCAACTCATCTGAGAACCCGAGGCAAAAACCGAAGAAAACCGTGAGACAGAGTCCCACTCAAACCGACAGACTGGGGGCACGAACCCCCAAAGATGGGGTAAGGGGCCGATAATAGCTGCCCCTGGAGAGCATTAATAGCAGCAGGAGCTGGAGGCTTAAACCCAAACAAGGGAGGACGGCACATGGTGGCAAGCCAACAACAGCACCAGGCAATCCGGGCCTAAAAGGTCTAACAGATGCCGGAGAAGCAACACCCGTGAAGCAACATCCGAGAATCAAGAATCGAACCCGAACCTGAGTCAGGTATGACCAGAGCCGGCTCAAATGCCGGCTGAAGCACGGTCAAGGATAGGAGCAAACCTCCGTCTGAAACCGTGGTGCCCTTCTACTGACAACTTCAGTAGCCCAAACATTAACTCCAATAAACATGGTGACAACTTTGACGCCAACGAACTCAGAGAATACATCTGAAACCGAGTACGGTGTGAACGGGTCCGGTTCAAAGCCAGCCGGGGTACAGGCAGAGATAGGCGCCAAGCCACCGCCCAAACGATGTGATGAATTTGACGCCAAACTTTGGCGTCTGCCAATACAACTGATAACCCCAGTTGACCGAGCGAAAAAACTATCAAACCCCAAAACAAAGCTTGGGTGGCTTGGGTGGATGAGCTTTTCCGCTTCTTACCCCTAGATACGGGGGACGAAGTGAGCTTCACGGCCGTACTAGAGCTTAAACTTTAGCTTTACGGGCGGTGTGAACAGGGCCTCAAGCTCTTCCGCTTCTCATCCATAAAGACAACGAGCTACACGGCCTCACTAGAGCCTAAGCTTAGCCTTCTGGCCGTGTGACTGGGGCCTGCTCGTTTCATTGCTTCGTGAGAAGCCTCACTCAGCGAGCTTGTGACCTTTGCGTTCCACTTATGTGATTTCAGGCACCTCAAATGTGGAAGCAGGAATACTGCCCAAATGAATCGGGTGCGTAAACCAGGTCAACCTTCGTGCTTGAGTGCATGGCTTGTGCTTTGCATGACTGCTGTATCGCAACAGAGCGAGGGGCCATGAAGCCCAGGGCCTCTAAAAGACTGACTAACCCCCGTGCCGTGGGGGAAAGCCTCTTATTAGAAGTTTCTATATTCGGTGTAATTGGATCTCTAGATCACAGCGTACTGGCACCAGGGCGCAGCCTGCAGGCTGGCCCGGACGCAGTACCGCTGGCAACTTACAACAGGGCAAAGCTCCAGTCACACCAGCCCCAAAATACCTGGTGTGGGGAGCAACCTGTCTCGAGCCTGTACTTGAGATGCCCTTACCAACCCCCCCTGCCGACCTAAACTCACTTGCTAGTGAGGCGGTAACGACAGCCGTAACTGGGGAGAGGAAATCGAATCCAGATCCAGAATTCTTGCTCATCGTTAACCTGTCGATGAGACAAAACAAGCTTTGTCTCCTGTATTTAGGGGTAAGAAGCAAAAGAGCTCGTCCACCGAGCCTCGGCTGGGTCTGGAGATAAAACGTGACATCAGGCGCGAAGATGACCCAGGTTTCACAAAGACGTTCGGGAGTGACCTTGGTTTCTCAAGTGATGTGGTTCCATTCAACGCCGTTGAGCACCAAGGCTCCGTGCTCGCTAAGTCTTTCTGTGAAGTGGTGAGGCGGTACTGCCCCGGTCCCACCAGCCATGAGGCTGAGGAGGCGAAGTGGTAATCTGACGGCCAGGGTTTGGCGTCAAACGTTTCTGTCAGCAGTTTCTGTATCCGCTCAGGCGGCTATGTTTTGGGGTTTGATAATTTTTTCCCTCGGTCAACTGGGGTTACCAGTGGTATCGGTAGACGCCAAAGTTTGGCATCAAATTTATTACTCCTTTTGGACGGTGGCTTGGCGCCTATCTCTGCCTGTGCCCCGGCTGGCTTTGAACCGGACCCGTTCACACCGTACTTGGTTTCAGATGTATTCTCTGAGTTCCTTGGCGTCAAAGTTGTCACCATGTTTATTGGAGTTAAAAGTTTGGGCTACTGAAGTTGTCAGTAGACGGGCGCCATGGTTTCAGGCGGAGGTTTGCTCCTATCCTTGCCCGTGCTTCAGCCGGCATTTCAGCCGGTCCCGGTCACACCTGATCAGGTTCGGGTTCAATTTTTGATTCTCGGGTGTTGCTTCTCTGGCATCTGTTAGACCTTTCAGGCCCAGATTGCCTGGTGCTGCTGTTGGCTTGCCCACCATGTGCCGTCGGCCCTTGTTTGGGGTTAAGCCTCCAGCTCCTGCTCAGACTATTAATATTATTATTAGATCTATTATTATTATTATTATATTTATTATTATCATTATTATCATTATTATTATTATTATTATTATTATTATTGTTATTATTATTATTATTATTTTTTTATACTATTATTACTATTATTACTATTATTACTATTATTACTATTATTATTATTATTATTATTAGTGCTCCTCCAGGGGCAGCTACTTTTGGCACCTTACCCCATCTTTGGGGGTGCGTGCCCCCAGTCCGTCGGCTTGAGTGGGACTCTGTCTCGCGGTTTTCTTCAGATATGCCTCGGGTTCTTAGTTGAGTTTCCCCCAGTGACAGAGAGCCCTCGGTCACACGGTGGCTTCTAGCATCAAGCTTTTCAGCCTAAGGTGCGATGTAGCATGGTTGTAATGACCACGCTGGGCCTGTAGCTAAACCTACCAGCTTTAGTAAGGCCTTTGAGCAGGCTTCGCACCAGACGTTTCGGCGTAAGGTAGGAAGCGGTTGCTTTTGGATGTCGAGTCTCCGATTGTGACTTTGACTGTGAAGTCCATCAGGCACCCAGGGGGATGAGGGTAGCTGTGCCCTAGACCGAAAGCTTCAGTCTCTATAATCGTCGGTTGTTCCACTGAGACTACGTCTGGCTCCACTAGACTTCTGGTTATAGAGACTGAACGATCGCCTATGCCATCGTATGTTGAAGATATCACGGCTAGATTTTAGCCGTTAGGCCCCTCCCACAAACATGACAAACTTGCCACGACCGTATTGTTATGCCCCCAAAATCCCCCAAATGTCATTTTACCTCGTGCATATCCAATTTTGAATTAGGCCTAGGCTATAATACATCGGTTCCACTTACTAACTTGATTGAAATAATCCGTTTAATGGTCCCTTTTAAGGAAATTATGGGTCAAAATCGACATCCATGTTGAAAATCTTGCAAGCCGTGTTAAACTCTCGCTGCCGTCAATCTCATCCCTTCTAGTCTACGCCAAAGGCAAAATGATTATGAAGGAAAAACTGTGCGCCATCTACACGTTCGTAATGGCGTTATCACAGTTTTTCCTTCATAATCATTTTGCCTTCGGCGTAGACTAGAAGAGATAAGATTGACGGCAGCGAGAGTTTAATACGGCTTGCAAGATTTTCAACATGGATGTCGATTTTGACCCATAATTTCCTTAAAAGGGACCATTAATCGGATTATTTCAATCAAGTTAGTAAGTGGAACCGATGTATTATAGCCTAGGCCTAATTCAAAATTGGATATGCACGAGGTAAAATGACATTTTGGGGGATTTGGGGGCATAACAATACGGCCGTGGCAAGTTTGTCATGTTTGTGGGAGGGGCCTAACGGCTAAAATCTAGCCGTGATATCTTCAACATACGATGGCATAGGCGATCGTTCAGTCTCTATAACCGGAGGTCTAGTGGAGCCAGACGTAGTCTCAGTGGAACAACCGACGATTATAGAGACTGAAGCTTTCGGTCTAGCTGTGCCCCTGCCCTAGGGGTGTCTTGACTGGACTCAGTTGCACTTTCTGGTGTTCAGGTTCCCTTTTTGTTTTGGGACCCGTCTTGCTAAGCTCGGCTTCTGAGAAGCTCTGTGCTGTTGTTGGCCTTTTTAGGGTCTTTGCCCATTGTTGGTGGCTAGACTCCCACCGTCCACTTCCCTTGCTACTCCTCTGTGAGAGGAGTCGGTAGGTGGATCACTTTCTCCTTTCCCCTCTGGGGTTTCGGTTATTCCTAAATATCATTCAACTGTATCTTAAACATGATACCAGGGGTGTTGGTACCTCCTGGGCTCTTTTCCATGGGGTAGCGCTTCATGTCATTATGAAGGCTGCCTTCTGGCTTTCACCAAACACCTTAGTTTCGTGTTATCTTTAGGACATTCCTGCGAGTGAGGAGTGTGTTGCTACGGCCTGGTCCCCCGCCAACTTTTGTTTGGAACATGCCCCCTGCTTTCATCTGTGTTGGTCTAAGCAATAATAGGTAGATACATATAATTTATTGTGGTAAATTAGTTACATCAGAACTGATTTTATTATTTACTATACTAATCTATGTACATGTATCTACCTATGTCCCTCCCTCTGTCCCCTCTCCTTGTTGGCAACATGTCCCTGGTTGTATCTTGGACTGCTTTAAGAGAGGAAGTTTGCATGCGGTCGTAGTGCCCATGTGACAGGTGGTATAGCAGGGCCTTGGGGTGGGGTAAGCACAATTGTGACTTTTATTTTGATGACTGCTTTGTCTGTTCACCTACAATTTAAGGGACAGTGCCATGTAGGCTCATCATTCACATGTTACCATCTCCCAGCCAGTAATTACCTACACCTAATACCATGAATATCAAAAAATACAAAAAAAAGTTCAGTTCTTGAATTAAAAACGTGCCTCATCCAATATGATATCAATCAGCTCAATGGATGTAGGAAAGAAGAAATGTGGATATATACACAACATTCACTTTAAAAACACTTTTGATGCCAAAGAGTGATGACTGCGTAGTTGAATATCTAGTGCCTTATTTTACAATGGTGAAATAATATCCAATGCAAACATCTTCTGACTGCCAAGAGAATTATTGAACGAGACAAAGAAGTTGATGCTTAGTAAGGTTACACTGGTTGCATAGTTATGCAATCCATGACTGTTAATGTCATAAATATTTTCCACACAAGCAAATTACGATTTTTCTAACTAAGGAAAATTACTCTTAAATTAAGGGAGCAGATTGGTGAAAGTTTGAACGAAATCGAACAAACAATAAGGTTATGAATTTTTGAAAGCTGTAATCAAGTTCAAATTGCCTGATCGGTAATGTTGCTGTGATGTAGTGGCGGACAACTATTCAGCTTATTATAACACACAACAGTACTAAAATGTCAATTTTTCAAAATGTATGACCCAGGGGATCTTTTTCAAGCATTTCCATTCCACTTCTAGTTTCTCAATGTCATTTACTTCATTATTTGTTTATTCTATTTCTTCTGTGACTAGGCAATTATACCTATTTCTAACTTCCATAAGGTATTTTTCTGATATCGACTGTTTTATTTAGAGCTTTAACATCCAGAAGAGGGTTTCTTTTTGTTCTGGGGAGTGTATTCTTAGCTTTATTTCAACTTCTGCAATCACCGGGTTGTGATCAGAATCTATGTCAGCCCCTGGGCATGTTTTAACCTGCTTGATTAAATTCTTGAACCTGTTCGTTATTAAAATGTAGTCGATCTGATTTCTATTTGCATCTCCTAGGCTTTTCCAGGTGTAGGTTCTTCTTTTATGTTGTTGGTAAAAGGTGTTGGTTATCACTAGATCATGTTCCTTACAGAACTGAACAAGTCGATCACCCTGTTCATTACGATGGCCTAGTCCATATTGTCCAACAATCTTTCCATCCTTACCTTCCCCGTCTTTATCATTCCAATCACCTATCACGATAACAACTTCTGTTGATTTACAGTGCTTTAGCATTTCATCTATTTGATCGTAATATTTTTCTACTTGTTCATCACTGTAATCACTAGTTGGGGCATACACTTGAATTAATGCTTGGTTAAACGGTTTAGCTTTCAGCTTCATTAACGTCATTCTCTCATTTAATGTCCAGTATTAAACCTAGAATGTGTTTCAAGATTTTTCTTGATTAACATTCCAACACCATGTTGGTGTTTTTCTCCCCCAGAGTATATGAAGGTATAATCATCTCTCTTCATGCATCCATTATTAGTCCACCTAGTTTCTGCAATACCTATAATATCTAGTTTCATCCTATTAGCCGCCTGAATGCGGTTATCTAATTTCCCTGCCTTATACAACGTCCTAACATTCCATGTCTTGTTTTCAGGGACAGAGCATCACAACCTAATCTTTCCGAAGGCTTTGAACTAGGTTGGTCATTATAATTTACCTTATTTGCAAAAGGCAGCAACTCTTCCCGAAGGCTATTTACAGCAGGACTAATTGTTTGGGGACCAGTCAGGCTTGCATCTCGCTTTTCTCTCTGTCTGTACTTATTCATGATGTTGCAGACAATGGTAATATACATGTACATGGTGAGGTAACAAACTCTTCCATGGTAACTGGCCGTTGGCTCCATGTAAGCTCATCCGCCCGTAAGTTCTATATGTTATAGATCTATAGGATGGCTACACACCCTATGTTAATTGGGTGACGGTTCAGTTGAGCTGTCACGAGCATGAAGAGAATGGCATGATGACACATAGCAAGCACCTTAAACTACGAACTAGCCCTACCGGGAAAAAAAAATGCCTGATCTTGCTGCACCGTTCTCCAGCAATTTAAGGTACAAGACCAGCTAGAACATCACTCACAGGTGCTCTAGTAAGACAGGTTATAACCTACTTACTAGTTACAGCTAGCCATGTATAATCCAACTTGATCTCCCATAACTCTCAAGGCATCTACAACTATCCATCACCCTGCACGTCGCTGGCTGTAGTGTCTACGGCATTACAGTAGCAATTGTGAGACAAGAAGTACTCAAAATTGGCCAGACCAATTCAGAGGACCTATAATTATATGCTATCCATAATTAATGTGACATAGTACCCCATGGGAGAAGGCGCTCAGGAGATAGAGAGATAGAGTGGGAGGCAAAAAAGATTTTTGCTATGAATGGTATTTATCCTATTCAAAAAAGCAAATCTAGATTTGATAAGTCATAATCATAAATAGTGAGCAAGAAAGTGTGAGACATGGTGAGAGATGGGAAGAAAGGGAGAGAAAGGGAAACAGCTGATATACAGCCGGTAATAATCGCAAAAAGCAACAAAGAGAGAGAGAGAACAAGGAAGCTAAAATAAAATATGACTCTTATACAATAACAAATTAATCTGATAAACAGTACTTTTATATAAAAAAAAAATATATACAAATATACAAAAATAAATATGTGACTTGGGAACCTGTACCACCAAATTAATAGCAATAAAAAAAGAGGACGGAATTCAATGCGTAAAAAGAGCTAAGCCTATCGAAAAAAGGACAAAATCTTTGAATTTAAATGTGACTCAGCTGTAACGATGTCTCTGCCGGTAGGCGAGAATAGAAAGAGGATGAATGGCGGGCGTGCGTTGCGCACATGAACCCTGGGAAGGCGAATTATGGGGGTGGGGCATACGCGATTGTGATGTTTTTAGAGTTGTGGCGTAGTTTGGATAAACTAGCAAATGATAGGTAGATACATTGATTTATTGTGGTAAATATGGGTATTATGGATGGGTACAATGGATGGGAAAGATAATGAAGAGAAGATGATAAAGTATGAGAAGAAGAAAGAGTATAAATGATAATGTTCTAAAAGGACATAGAAGTGAGAGACAGAAAAAAAAGCAAGTCCATGCAAAGCGTCCCTTCGCCGGGTAAAAATGGCCTATATTTAGCAAGTTTTTAATATTTATGAGCTGCCACCTTTGACCTTTGACGTACATACTCAACAACATTACTTACATTATTGAATGAAAACCACATTTTCGCATATATAAATAGGTATTTGGCATATTTAAAGAGCTATGACCTATGACCTACATACTCCAAAGTTGAAATTATGCCATATTTTGATACCATGTACCTTCATATCAAGTTTCATTCAAATCGTCGAAAAATTACTAAGATTATTGAACAGAAACCAAATTTTCTTATTAGCTTTTTCCCCACATAATAATGAGCTCTGACCTTTGACAAATACAGAAAAAGAAAAAAAAAGACGAAGACATTAACAAAAATACAAACAAATAGAAAGATAAAAATGATATAGAAAGAGGAAAGATACAATTTTCTTTTCAAAACTACACCCTTTGCGATCTCCTCACAACCTTCTCAATCTTGACCACCCTTTCTTTCCTTCCCTTTTTTACTTCCATATGACCTAATTCTTGGTGTACAAACCACATAGTGTTACCGAAAGCCTTGAATTGTGAATGACATACGATATTCTCCTATTGAAAGAAAGATTCAATACTCTTAGAAGATGTAAAGAGCTATCAAGAGAATTCTACAATATCGAGAAACATCCCTGCTGCAATGGAGAGAAGGGTAAACCAGAGAGAACATTGGACAAGATAAACAGCTGCTAAACAATACTGAGAATGATTAGGTATTACACATTTGAAGTAGAGCCTACTGTATTAAAACATTAATTTATATTAGTGGAGACTTGAGAAGAAAAGTAGAAAAAGCTATATATTACATCTTTATTATATTTTAAAGGAGTCCTATCCTACCATAAGAAAAATCAAAACATCCCACAATAAAAGCAATTATATATGATTAAGATACAAACTGGAAAGATAAGAGAAGGAAAAAAACTATTCATTTCACAGAGAGTCTAACAAATCCTATTAGAAAACACACATGGGATTTACAGGTGCTGTATACCTGAAAATAGTGAACACGATGTATTTTTTGTCTGATATAATGCTTAATATGTCCTCTAGTAAATATGAATAATAAACTAAATTTAATTTTGTTTTTTACCCCAGCCACATAAAGGTGATTTATTTCTTCATATGTGATTTTGTGTTTCTTCTTCGAATTGGTAACATGTCAGGAAAATGCACCCCTTTAAAAGATAGGATTGAGAATAATCCACTACAAATAGAGAAACAGAAGGGGATTTGCTTTACCGGTATATGAGTAGAACCTACATATGCATAACATGTATATAATGTATAAGAAAATAGGATTAAATAAAAGTAATTGCAAATGGGAGAAGATGAGATTTCAGTTGTTTCTTTTAAGGGACTGGAAATCTTTACCAAGAATTTTATGATCACTAATGCTAAAGGATTATAATGGTTTTAGTGTTTTCCCGTGTAACTCGTCTCGACTTTGAAGGGAACACACATCCTTTTTTAAACTTAATTTTAAACCTTTTTTTTATAAAAAGAATGTGTTCTATTCAATTTAATTATTTTGTCCATCTTATTTTGTTTTCATTTAACGTCTCTTTTCAAATTTTAAATTTCATATTTTTTAATTGTATTTTATCATTAGTTTGCAACCATTTTTGTAAGTTCATTATTAATTGTTGGCATCTTTTTTTCTTATTCTTTCGTGCATTCCACATGAAAGAACATTCTGTCATTCGGTCAATTGAACACATTTTAAATTACACATTGCTCATTAATCACCGAGTAGGTCATATTAATAATTTAAGCTTAACCTTTATAAACTCAACACTAAATTTTATAACAATAAATAATACACATTGAAATATCAGTACAACTACTTTTATGAGATGGATGATTGCAAAACCAATAACTAAACTTACAAAAAAGAGACAACTTCTGAACCCTTATAACAATATAACGTATATTAAAAAAGATTTTCAGCCAAATATTCACAAATTCTCAATGTAATAACCTACATGTCAAACCTCAAAAGTATACATGACTTCTATTAGGAGGTATTGGGTAAACTGATCTGGTGAGTAGGAATATATTATCACAAGGTAGACATTGAAATACCTGCATACTTACGACGTGTGTGCGCGTCCCACGGTGAGGCCTGATCTGTGGAATAAAGAGGTTAAACAAATGTTGTATTAGGCATCTCAAAGGATATGATGGGCAGATAAAATCGTAAAAATAAACACAAATTAAACAATTTTGTTAGGTAAAGATTATACCAAGTTTATACATTAATTTCAAAATAGATTTATTTCTGAGTATGTAGACAAAATATAAAGACGTTTTTCACCTTTCAGCCCTACATTTTACATTATATAAACATTTTCCACATAGAGGATACATATAAATGGTATACACTCCAAAATGATGAGGACATGTGCAAACAAAAGCAAAGATGAAGACTCCCCATGTTTTGCCAGGTAATGCTATAATGCTATAAAGAATTAATACTATTTCAAACATATGAAGCCAAAATAATGAACAGTAGACATACCTTCTTGGAATAATTTACAGGCGGTCAAAGAAAGGGAATGGCCTCCGGCGTCTACCTCGACTGACCACACCCAGTCTTTCTTGACTACGATAGTACAGCGGGTCTGGTTTTGAGTGACCATGCACTACCCGTCTCGGCTTCCTCCCTACTACTCCTATAGCAAGGCGTTTACGTCCCGAGAACCTCAGCAGTGTTCGACCCAGTATCCCCCCTCGGTCTCCCCCCTGCTGCTTCTGCGAATCAGTCTGTAGGAAAGGAGAATGAAGTGAGTTTAAAAAATCATTTATACTAAGGGGGAAGTCCACACTTAAATTAAGTTGACTGTAATAAAAGCATAACAATAAAAATATGAAAGTTATGAATTTTAAAGCTGTCAGTGAAAAAAATGTGACATCATGCAAGCTCATCTCCTATTTGCTCTGTAGGCTACAGACAATTTCATGAATTTTCATTTTCTTGGATATTGATGACGGAATAGATACGTTTCATACAGGGGTTGCTTAACACTTGAAATGATAATACTTAGGGTAAATATTTGATTGAAACATTAATTGATTGCACCTTTAAAAATTCATAACTTTCTTATTTTTAATCGGTTTATGCCCAAACTTTCACTGACTGTTTCTCTCATGTTCTGATTCTAAAAAATACACTTAATATCATGGTGGGCTTCCCCTTTAATTTCATTATGAGCAAGATGTTTCTGTTTCAAACTTTTTTTAAAATAAATAAAACAGATTATGTTTTCAGATAAATGAATTTTGAAAAACCCCTATATCATTGTGACAAATAACAATCATACTATTTGGAAACCTTGGATGCATCTCAGTTCATTTTGATCCAACTGATCATTAAAAGTTGCTGCTATGTTGTAAAGTTTTGGCTCATTGTCAAGTCTTCAATTAAAAAAATTGTGTTTGGTACATTGAATACATTGCATGCTCATCTGTTTAGTTATTTTTTGTTGTGGGGGTAGGAATTGTTAAAATACTTAAAATTAGGAAAGCATATAAAAAAATTTACTTACCCAGGCTACAATCACACATTGCCTCGCCTCGCGGCAATCCGGGCCGACCTCCGCAGGTTCTGGTTTGCCCGATTGGCGGCACGACGTTGCTCTCTCTCCGCGGCGAGTTGAACAGCGGCGGCAGCTGCGATCTCTCGCTCTACCAGACGCGGTGACCTTCGTCTCGGGTGGAGTTGCTCACGCTCCTCCGCCCTCCTACGCTGTTCATCCTGCTGTTGGCGATGAGCAGGAACGACCTCCGCACGACCGTTCTCGCGATGCAACTTGTTGACTGTATAAACCAAACGAAAACATAAATGAGGACATGCTACTTAGTACATGCATGGCATTTCACAGATCACATTCAAATACACGATTCTCCATTTATTCTTGAATATACCCCCTGTCAATGCACCAACGTACACATTCAATGATCCCATATTACAGGGTAAAGGGGTAGGCTACTTTTCACGCAACAAAGTAAGGCCCGTACATACACAAAAATCTGGCCAGTATTGACTTTACACACCGGAGATAGGGGGTGCTTTCAAAGGGAGGCCATGCATATATGCTGCCTACCCTAAATAACACTGAGTGGAGGGGGAGGCGGAGGGGGGCAGTGTAATTAGTTTCAAAATATTTTGAATCAATATACATATGTACATGAATCAATATTTACTCTTCCATTTTTAATATTTTTACCAATGGCAATATGCTGCCCTCGATCCCTGGAAAATTCTGGATCCGCTAATGGTCTGGGCAAATACATGTAGATCTATAGTCTATGGTCCACAAGACGCCTTTTTAAAATGTAGATCTAAGTTACATGTGAGAGATTTACTTTGAATAAATGCATACCGTGTTGCGTGCAGTAGAGTTCAACAGCGTTTTCGTCTAGCGAGTGACGTCCACGCCGGCTGCAACGTCTGCCATTCCCATGAAGCCCAATATGTGCAGAGCACTGGACCTCGGCTGGCTGTCTGTAATAAAGGAAACATAAAACAGGACATATAGTCTATTACTACTAGATTGCAAATAATAGAATGCGAATATATAAGACAAAAGTGCAGATGTTGCAATTTTGGTAAGACATTCGATAGGGTAATTACAATGAATGATAACTTTCAACTCACTGAAGGGTCAATATCCTGCGTGTATTAAAGGGACTGTATCAGCAGTTTCCATGCGCAGAAGGCCATAATTCGCTGACACCAGACTTGGTGGAAATACCATTAATGGGGGTACAAATCTGCACACAGCAAACCCGTTGGCCAGTCAAGAATCCCCCCCCCCCCCCTCTGATTTCTCGGATAATACTCGAGAGTTTTCGGGTAACGGGGAAACCAAAGCATTACATAAGGTCTAATGGTCATAAAACTCAAGGCTAACCCGGGTGATTGACAACACCTGTTGTTGGGTAAACACCCGAACGGTGTCGAATTCTCCATGAGAGCTGACTACCGAGTTGGTAAATTCATTTTTAATTTAGAAAATAACTATATACATACTGTCGGTGTTGCCAGCACTCCTCCGGTTCATCAACAGGCAGGGGTGCCTTCCTCCTACAACGAGTACCCTCCAGGGTATTCATCACACAGTTCCCGCTGAACTTGTTGCCGTAAAAGACCATTATTACACAAGTGAAATAACAGTGGTTCAAAGCAAGCTAAGCGAAGCGAACGAAGCAAAAGCTAAGTAAATATCTCAAAACGACTTGTCTAGGACAGAATCTAGCAGAGAATGGTAAATTTCTTGCTTCCCATCTTACTCGAAACCTAAAACCGATTCGCGCGAGCGGTCTCTATTTGCATGTTCAATTGAAATACATCACGTGATTTGTTTATACGGCCAATAAGTGGTGAACACTAATTGTTCTCTGGCATGCGTGACGGAATTATTGCGTTGAAGGTGTTTCATTTGAATATGAAAAGAGAGGATGCGAGATAAGGGTGTGGTGTGTAGAGGGAAGTCATTCTAGCTTCAGAGTGACATCTGTATGTGATGGTTGCTATGGGTGATATTATGTGATAAACGATGTTAGGATGAACTATTATTTGTCTGCGGTACGATTGTATAGCAGACAAATGTTGTTTGTATCGTTAATGAATGCATACTTATGTTGGGCGGGGGGGGGGGGGGGGGGGGGGGCTGTGCCCCGATGGAATGTATATTTGCATAGGCAGCTCGTACAGGTGTGCGAGCTAATTCTGCTACGGAGACCAGGGCGTGGCATGAATTAGTGTGTAATATCATTCTAGCTTGAACTTTCAACAAGACAACTTTTATTTCCAATAAAAGTGCGTTGTGTCATGTAGTGTTACATCAGTGGCGGATCCAGGAGAGAAAAAAATCATGTAAAATCACGCGATTTTTACCTTTTTGGGGGGTTGGGCCCCCCCCCCCTGGCGCTCAAGGGGGGGGGGGGGTGCAAATTTTAAAATTTTCGAGGACCAAAAAAAAAAAAAATGTGCTCACTACCCCCCCCCCCCCCCCCCCCCCCCCCCCCCCCCCCCACTGAGCGACCTTTTCGGCTGGTTGAGTCGTTGCGATTTTTTTGGGGGACTCAAAAAAAAAAAAAAAAAGTGTCCGCTTAATTGATGTGCTATTGAGCATACCGTGCTACCAGGCAGGGGCGGATCCAGCCGGCGGCAGGGAAGGGGAGGGGGCCCAATTCGTGAGAAAATATTTAGTGGCGAAAATTTAAAAATCGCACTGGCCGAGAATTCGCTCAGTGGGGTGGGGGGAGGGGGGGGGGGAGGGGATCGTAGGGATATACTATATTTTTTTTTGGGGGGGGGCCCTTGAAAATTTGGAAAGTTGCATCCCCCCCCCCTTGAACGCCAGGGAGGGGGCCCATCTCCATAAAAAGGTAAAAATTAACGTGTCTTTACACATTTTTTTCCGGGGGGACCACAGGCCCACCGGCACCCCCTCCCCCCCCTGGATCCGGCCGCCACTGCAAGCACATTTTCTTTCCCGAAATTAAAAAATTTGGCCGACCTATATTTCGATGGCTGGGGGGTAAGGTCACTTTTTTGGGGTCACCCTTTTGCACACAAAAAAAGGGTTTTTTTCTTCTTTTTTTAATTAAAAATCACACACATCAAAAATGTTAGTGGGGGTTCGACCCCTAAATTTAATTTTTTTTTTTACCCCAGCCACATAAAGGTGATTTATTTCTTCATATGTGATTTTGTGTTTCTTCTTCGAATTGGTAACATGTCAGGAAAATGCACCCCTTTAAAAGATAGGATTGAGAATAATCCACTACAAATAGAGAAACAGAAGGGGATTTGCTTTACCGGTATAATGTATAAGAAAATAGGATTAAATAAAAGTAATTGCAAATGGGAGAAGATGAGATTTCAGTTGTTTCTTTTAAGGGACTGGAAAACTTTACCAAGAATTTTATGATCACTAATGCTAAAGGATTATAATGGTTTCAGTGTTTTCCCGTGTAACTCGTCTCGACTTTGAAGGAAACACACATCCTTTTTTAAACTTAATTTTAAACCTTTTTTTTTATAAAAGAATGTGTTCTATTCAATTTAATTATTTTGTCCATCTTATTTTGTTTTTCATTTAACGTCTCTTTTTAAATTTTAAATTTCATATTTTTTAATTGTATTTAGTGGCGAAAATTTAAAAATCGCACTGGCCGAGAATTCGCTCAGTGGGGTGGGGGGAGGGGGGGGGGAGGGGATCGTAGGGATATACTATATTTTTTTTTTTGGGGGGGGCCCTTGAAAATTTGGAAAGTTGCATCCCCCCCCCCCCCTTGAACGCCAGGGAGGGGGCCCATCTCCATAAAAAGGTAAAATTAACGTGTCTTTACACATTTTTTTCCGGGGGGACCACAGGCCCACCGGCACCCCCTCCCCCTGGATCCGGCCGCCACTGCAAGCACATTTTCTTTCCCGGAAATTAAAAAATTTGGCCGACCTATATTTCGATGGCTGGGGGGTAAGGTCACTTTTTTGGGGTCACCCTTTTGCACACAAAAAAAGGGTTTTTTTCTTCTTTTTTTAATTAAAAATCACACACATCAAAAATGTTAGTGGGGGTTCGACCCCCAATCCCCCACCTCCTGCGTACACGCCTGTACCTATCTATAGTACTCAAGTTATTTTGACCCTCTTAAAAAAAAAATTAGGAGTCCAAAGACAGAGAGAGAAAAAAAACTCCCTCTTTTAGAGTTTAGAGTTTAAAAAATTAAAAAAAATGATAATTCCAAGAGTTAACTATACTACTATAGTATACCCTTTGACTGAATTTATGTGACTTTATGCTGGTGCAACATTGAGATATGATTAAGAATAGGCCTACAATTAACATGACACGTTTAAATAATATCCAACTAAATGTTCTGTGATTTTTACAATGTAAATGTATATACTTTTAACTTGTGTCAGTGGCGGATCTAGGGGGCACAGGGGGCACGTGCCCCCCACCCCCCCCCCAAAAAAAATAGTGCTCACTACTCCCCCCCCCTGCATGGGGAGCAAAACAAAATAGTGCTCATTACCACCCCCCACCCCACCCCCACCCCCACCTAAGAAATCCTGAATCAGCGACTGTGTGTATTCAGTTCTGATGCTGCCAAGTTCATGAAAGCTGCAATAAAATACAATTATCTAATACGGTTTTTCTCCCGTCGTTCAAAATAAGCCCTTTTTCTCCAATCATAATGGTTTGCTTTGTTTTTGACCTGATATCATTAATTCTTTTATAACTGATAAACGTATGTTATTAATTTACATCATTAAATTATGTAAGCAGTGGCATAGCTAGTGGCGGGGCAAGAGGTACACCCCCCGGTCGAGTGTGAACCACAGGGACAGAAAAAAACTGAGCAAGACTAACATAAGGGTTCAAAAGAAGCTAGAGGGAAAAGATGAGAGACTGAAATGCCTCCACCTCAGGCACCTACCCCAATCAACAGGCAGACGCGGATCCAGGATTTCTTAGGGGGGCCCAAATTTAAAATTATTTGAGCCAAATATTGGTAAGTAATGGTGACCAGCAGTGACATAATTGGGAGGGGGCGAGTTTTCCCCTTTTACGTTTCATTAAATCATTAGAGAAAGAAGACGAATCGTTGTACCGTTCTCAACTCTTAATCCTTGTCTAAATTCAGTCCCCCCCCCCCCTCCCGCGAGAAGCGCGGAAGCTTCGACGTTTCATTAAATTATTATAGAAAGAAGACGATTCGTTGTACCGTTCTCGAAAATTATCCTTGTCTGAATTCAGTTCCTCTTTCCCTCTCCTGCGCGAAGCGCGGAAGCTTTAACGTTTCATTAATTCATTAGAGATAGAAGACGATTCGTATTTCCATCCTTGACTCTTAATCCTTGTCGAATGTAGTTCCATCCCCCCTCCTGTGCGAAGCGCGGAAGCTGTGACGTTTTGTTAAATTATTAGAGAAAGAAGACGATTCGTTGTACCATTCTCGACTCTTAATCCTTGTCTGAATTTCAAAAATGTTCTTTATCTACTCGCTTTTCTCCCTACGTCCTCTTCCATTTCTCTCCTCTCTTTTTTTGGCCGGCGTTTTAGGGGGGGACCACCCCACCGCCCCCTGGATACGTGCCTGCGGTCAAATGAACATATGTTGATACCTTGTCCGCCCCAGAAGCTCAGGGATTTAAGGCAAAAATTTACGGTCAGATTATCATTCAGGGGTCCGCCTTGGGGCCCTAGGCGGGGTCCAGGGGGCAGAGCCCCGGAAGTTCAGTGGTTTTAGGCATGCAATTACGGTCAGATCAGCCTTATTTTGATACCTTCTTATTTTGTGACACTGGCAGGACACTGTTTGGCGTGGGGTCCAGGGGGCAGAGCCCCCAGAAATCAGGGGTTTTAGGCATTAAATTACCGTCAGATGAGCATCTAAGGGCCCGCCTTGGGGCCCTAGGTGGAATCCAGGGGGCAGAGCCTTGGGGGTTTTAGGCATTTAATCATGGTCAGATGAGCATATTTTGATACCTCATTATAATGTGACACTGCAGTTAACTATTTTTTCTTTCTTGCTCTCTTTCTTTCTATTTCTCTTTAATATGCTTTTTCAAAAAAAGTGTGGGGGGAGGGGGGGGGGGGGGGTTCGAGGATCCCGATCCCCGCCATTCCGTGGGCCCTGACATCTAGGCATCTCAAGAAGGATTTTCTTGCCTGGCTGTAAATTTAGGAATTGGTCATTTTCCAACAAACGCATAAAAAAGTAAAATTTACTTAAAAGTGTATTTCCCCAAGGACCCCCCCCCCCCCGGTCTACACCTTGTTGGCGGGAAAATTGCAACTGATATCCCTTACCTTTCTTCATTCTCTTTTTTTCTCTCTCTCTCTCTTCTTTCCCTTTCCCTTCCCTTCCTTCTCTCTCTTTTAGATTTGCTAGGGGGGGAAGGTCATTTTGGCCCCACCCCGCTCCACACATTGTTGGCGGGACTACCCGCAACTGATATCCCCTTCTTTTCTCCCTTTTCTTTTCTTCTTCCTCTTTTTTGTTCTCCTTTTGCTCTCCTCTTTTCCTTTTCCTTCCTTCTCTCTTTTTTTAGCGGGGATTGGGGGGGGGGGGGGGATATACAACTTGTTGGCGGGAAAATTGCAACTAATATCCCCCTTCTTTTCTTTTCTTCTTCCTCTTTATTCCTTCCCTTTATCTCCTCTTTTCCTTTTTCTTTCCCTTTCCTTCCTTCTCTTTTATTTTTTGATTGGGGGGGGGGGGGGGGGAGGGGGAGGCAACAGCCTGGGAGGCAAGTCCTTTCACCCCTCCCCCGATCTCCTTCTTCCCTCTTTTCTTTTCTTCTTCCTCTTCTTTTTTTCCCTTTCCCTTCTTTTCCTTCTCTCTCTCTCTCCTTTTTTTTTGCAGGGGGGGTGGGGGGGGCAAGGCCCGCTCGGCCCCCCTGGATCCGCGCCTGCCACTATGCACCACCACTCTCCGTACTGGCGCAGCAATCAACACTCTTTCTTATAAAGGACAATTAATGATTCTTTTTTACTCCAATTGTGGATGTTATACAATTTATTAATCGTCGAACCGTTTATCATACTCAGAAAACATGAATCATATTCTAATTGCCGATTAAGCTGGATTATCAATTGATTTTCTTGAGCATCTCAGAATCATGTCCTCACACGAATATCCCGATTGATGAGACAAATTTACGCCCTCACCGGCCGAAATTTTGAGGCTGCCCCTTCTAAGATGAACGTCCTCGTTTCATTGTTAAAGAATTTATAAGGTTAACATTTCTCGGCACATGAAATAAAACATTGACATGTAGGTACATTCATTTAAAAAAATATATCTTGATCTAACTTATATACATCGTCTGCTTCCTGTGAAAAAGAACATGGTCAAATTTCAACTACAGTTCAACTTGAGAAGAGGGTCTTAAAATGGTTGTAGACATTACAAAATACTTTTTGAAAAATATAATGTTTATTCAGTTCTTATTCAGTGAAAATCATGCTGTATGGCGGTAGAATTTGCCATACACATTTTTCGAAAAATATACCACATTTTGTTGTTTTTGATAATTTTCACAAAATGTCATATCTAATAATTTTCCAACAAAAGGTGATTGTCTTACTAATTATGACATCTTGTAACGTTCATCATGCCCTAAAAGGTCTAAATTCATGCAAAAAGCTGGCATCCTTGAATCTTTAGAGCAAGGAATAAAGCATTTTACCATCTGCTTTCTGACTCTTTTATTGAAAAACCCACATCACAGAAGGAGCTTAATCACAAAGCTCTCAATGCATTATGTGCTGCTCGGAGCCAAATAGCAACAGCCATTGCCCCAGGATCAGGTCGTCCTAACTGGTCTGGGTTGACGTATCTTGCTCTGCCAGCTCTGGCGGCCATCATAGATGTAGCTTCAGCACTTTGCTCAGCAGCCTGTTTAGGATAGAGAAAAATGATAGGTTGAGATCTGAAAAGTAAAGATCTAGTAAAGCTATAAAGGCCAAAAAAAAATCTGAATGGATTGGTTTTCACTCCCTCTATTGGTTCCCCCTTTTTATTTCTCATTGTGTCCATCGTGCTTTTTACCCATACCACCCCCTCTATTGGTTCCCCATTTCTCATTATCTGTTTCCACCTTGCTCTTTACCCGAACCAACCCCTCTATTGGATACCCCTTTCTGTTCCTCTGTGTCCATCTTGCTCTATACCCATACCACCCCCTCTATTGGTTCCCCATTTCTCATTATCTGTTTCCACCTTGCTCTTTACCCGAACCAACCCCTCTATTGGATACCTCTTTCTGTTTCTCTGTGTCCATCTTGCTCTATACCCATACCACCCCCTCTATTGGCTCCCCTTTCTCTTTAACTGTGTCCATCTTTTCTTTCTCTCTCTCTCTCTCTCTCTCTTCTGTCTTTGATCAAAATGCTAAAGAAAAAGTTATTTTCTGGTTTCATGGTTGTGAAGGATTTTAATCATTTCACATGGGACAATCATCCTATTGGAATACAAACATGATATCTTCACCTCAAAAATGAATTTACTTCCGACACTCTCATGTATATAAATGAGAGTGAATGATACAATCATCCTGTCATCTAAAACTGATATCCTAAGATCCTTTTACCAGTATGCATAACTATCTCATAGTCTAATCTCTTTTTTCATTAATTATGTCACTCCTTCAATGATTCTTCCACTCCCTTCAAACCCACATCCCCCAAATGTGTACATCTGCACATGCATATCAGGAGAATAAGAAGGTATTTCTTTTCACTTGGATGAACTCACATTGACTGCATCTTCCAAGGTCTTCATAGAGTCCGAGTTGTTAGTGTGGCCTTCCTTCAGTATCCTGTATGCTGCGTCAAGCGGATCCAGCTGATGAAAATAATCATAAAATATTTGTTAAGAGGGACAAACACTACAGAATCTTGGTTGTCTAGGACTACAGTTTATGCCTTTACTGTGAAAACTTACAAATTAGCCATACCCCTATATTACTCTGGCTCTTACTTCCGTCTTAGTCTTTTTCTTCTTTTTTAAAATAAATCTTTCTTCAGATAGAATCAAGGATAACATCATACATAAATATTCATAACAAGCACTTAACCACATGTTTAAATGAGATCAAATCAAATTATATTCCTGTAAATCAGTAATAATCTTCCTATTGTCTTAGTCTTCATTTAGTTATATCTGTATTATTTCAAATGCAACTGAACTAAAACAAACTTGTGCTTATCTTCTACATTGATTTTGATTAATAATTAATGCATCTTATATGCACAGGTTCCCTCTCTGAAACATAATTCGAAATCAGTCACTGTTGATGATAAAGATGCTTGATGCTGTTGCATGAATATCACAGTTTGATTCTTGCATGCCTCTTAAAATCATGTGCAAGAGTCAATGAACAAAATTGCTGAGGGGCGCACAATTTCCACATAATAACAAATTTAACAAATATTTTACTGATAAACTTTCAAATATGAATATACTGATCCAAAACAACCAATGATGTGTAATCGTCCATGACCTAGCATCGTTTATCCATCCATGAATGAACCTGCATTCAATCAGCAGATGTATTAGATTTATTTTATTAACAGAAAACCAACGCTCCTTCTCTCCCCTTTCCTTTTCTTCTCTGCAAGTCACTCTTCTGCTTTTTTATTTTTATTTTTATTGTTGTATCTAAGTTGAGGGCTGTGGGCACGTCAAGCTACATTGCTTATTCTGTAGCCCACTTGCATCTAATGTATGTTAATTATGCATGCATTCAATATATTTGTTTAATTTTGTATATTATCTGTATAAAATTATATACACTTGAAATATTGTATCAAACCATATTATGTTCATGAAAAAATGTTTGATGAAAAAAAAAAAGATGCAGAAACCAATAAATAAAATAAAATCAAATAAAATAAAATCTATTATGACATATACCATGGTTCTGTCCCCAACCTCTGCTTTGCCATACTTCATAATTCTGTCCATGCCTTGCCTGAGGGCTTCCCATAGGAAAGAAATGAGCCTGCCGCATACTCCTGCGGCAGACTTGCCGCAGATCTGCCGCAGACCTGCCGCAGACAGTCATCTTTTTCACATGCAAATTAGTTTTGCCGCAGACTTGCCGCAGACTTGCCGCATACTCTTTCAGTATGATGAAGAGTCTGCGGCAGGTCTGCCGCAGACTTGCTGCAGACCTGCCGCATACTCTTTCAGTATGATGAAGAGTCTGCTGCAGACTTGCCGCATACTCTTTCAGTATGATGAAGAGTCTGCTGCAGACTTGCCGCATACTCTTTCAGTATGATGAAGAGTCTGCGGCAGGTCTGCCGCAGACTTGCTGCAGACCTGCCGCATACTCTTTCAGTATGATGAAGAGTCTGCGGCAGGTCTGCCGCAGACTTGCCGCATACTCTTTCAGTATGATGAAGAGTCTGCGGCAGGTCTGCCGCAGACTTGCTGCAGACTTGCCGCATACTCTTTCAGTATGATGAAGAGTCTGCGGCAGGTCTGCCGCAGACTTGCTGCAGACCTGCCGCAGACTCTTCGTCATGAATATTCATATCTCATATAGACCTGCTGCAGACCTGCCGCATACTCTTTCATATCCAGTACGTGGCAATACAGTATGCATGTAGAAGAACCAGTGATAATTAAGTGATTGATACTTCATAATCAATATTGGCAATATCGATATTACCAATTAGGTAATACCAATATATATCGATATTACCAATTAGGTATATTCTATTCTCAATTGTATTAACTTCATCACATTGATCATTTGAAGTGTATTCAAGAGTAACATTTAAAGTGACACAGGCTCGTACACATATATATACTAAATATGTATATTGTTTCTTGGTTAGTAATCATAGTTTCTTGGTTAGTAATCAATATATCTATTGCTTAAACGTGAATGTAATTGTAACATGATCAGACAAAATAATCTATTGGTTAATAATGGCAAAAGGAAAATAGAAATCACAAAAATGATGTGCATTGTCTTAATTTGCTTAACAAATCATGATAAATGTATTTTTCTGTCACACGTGTAAAGTAATAATGAATATGCATGAGATGATTGGTTTCAATTGGCCCTATTAGACTTTAATGGGATTTCCTGTGGCAGACCTGCCGCAGACTGTTCCTGTGGCGTACTGGTATGCGGCAAGTCTGGAGCAAAGTTTCGCCCTGCCGCAGATCTGCCGCAGACTGTTCCTGTGGCATACTAGTATGCGGCAAGTCTGCAGCAAAATTGCATCCTGCCGCAGATCTGCCGCAGACTGTTCCTGTGGCATACTAGTATGCGGCAAGTCTGGAGCAAAGTTTCATCCTGCCGCAGATGTGCCGCAGACTGTTCCTGTGGCATACTAGTATGCGGCAAGTCTGCAGCAAAATTTCATCCTGCCGCAGACTGTTCCTGTGGCATACTAGTATGCGGCAAGTCTGGAGCAAAGTTTCATCCTGCCGCAGATCTGCCGCAGACTGTTCCTGTGGCATACTAGTATGCGGCAAGTCTGCAGCAAAACTTCATCCTGCCGCAGATCTGCCGCAGACTGTTCCTGTGGCATACTGGTATGCGGCAAGTCTGCAGCAAAATTCTTTCTGCCGCATACTTCGGCATACTCTTTGCCGCAGACTAAAAGTCTGCGGCAGGTCTGCGGCAGATCTGCGGCAGGTCTGCGGCAGGTCTGCGGCATACTTTTCACTTTCCTATGGGTTCTACCCAATCACCAAATCCAGGTTCATCTCCTAATGCTTGTTGAGCTGCTAGCAGGAACAACCCATAGAACTACAATCAAGATCAAAAAATGAATCAAGGATATCATTCTATAATCTGATATTCACTTTATACCAGGTATGATATGTACAGCTTTAATATGCAAGTTAAAGAAAAGAACTGGGCAAGTCCTAGCTATTTTTTACCATACATTATCATCCAGTTTACAATTTTAGTATATTTTATGATTGTATTAAATTTTAATATAGCCCTCAAAGAGCGTGGAATCATACAAAATCACCAAGAAAATGATACACTTGATGTCAATTTACATACAGGTTCATCAAATTGTAATAAGGAACACCTTAAATTAACAAATACTTTGGACTTGCCCAATTATAAGCAAAGTTAGGCCATCCTATTTTTCTTGCAGAACAGCCAAATAATTTATCCATTTTTTTATCCAAAGATAATCATGAGTATCCATAATACATTTCCATTAGTATTTTTAGAATATGGGAATACGAACTTTTATTCCAAACTTTCTCATCATATTTTTGATATGAGGGCATTTGAGGAGCAAGCCTTTTTATGGAATATTCCTGCTATGATATTCTTCCAAACCGACATATATAATGAATTAGAAAGCCCCAAACTTTTTCTATTTTTTTTTAAAGGGAATGACTATCATAAAGTGGAGTGTATTATATACCAATAAATGAAAACATTTAATGTATATAAACGAATGCAATCTAATTATTTGGTATTGTCATTATGTTACTGATTTATTTACTCTGCTTTGTTATACTATTGTACATGTATATAATTATAAGTATACTTCTACTTCTACTTCTATGGTAATACTCATCAACGCCTGTTCAGCATCTAGATGAGGGTAAAGCATAGAGTTGTTATATACAGCTCTATGCGGTACATTTCCTGAAAAGGGAACTGTTTCAAGAGCCACATCACTGTATTTTTTGTAAATTGACCCTTTGTTTTGTGCTGCTGGTCGATCATTATATACCAATAAATAAAAAATTAATAAATGAATAATCATCTTACCGCCCCTGAGCTTCCTCCCATAGCCTCCTCAGCAATAAGAGACATGTGACCAGTGACATCACTAAAATAGAGCAGCTCTTCGCTTTCAATCCAGGTCTTCATTGCTGAGGGTCAGATCAGTTATTAAAATCAATTAATTGATCATTTTCGTAATGTCACAATCAAATTTAATGCACAATTTTTTGTTAAGTGCCTTGTTACAAATTTTGTCATTCACCTGTTACGAAGAATTGTATTTTAATAGTCAGAAAGCAAATGGCATATATTGTGTGTTGTTGGGTAGGACAATCCATAATGTTTGTCCTACCTAGCAACAACTAATGTACGCAATTAGAATTCCTACTATTGAGATACATTAATTTGTAACAGGTGAAAATAATGACTCGTAAGGAGCGCTTAGAAAGATTTGTGCATTTAATTTGATTATAATATGAAAATGGTCTACCGGTATTGGGCAGAACTACGTACGGTACTGACAAGCCTACAATTTACTAATGTTATACATTGTACATGTAAATGTATATGTCATTTATGTTGTTTAAGGCATAATAATTATTAAAGCTGATTCAAAAGTTGTTTTCATGATAATCATTACACGGGGTACTCACAATTTATGTTACACTATTTTCAAGTGTTGTCAAATTCCCAATCCTTTAACGACTTGTAATATCCATGGAAATATAGGGTTCCACAATATTCATGGTTTCCCAAAATTGAGCAATGTGATTAAAGTTTTTGAGGTACAAACGTGTGCAAATCTTGATCACTTGCAAACGTCTGTTTCTAATCTATAAACCAGTTTAATCCGATCCAATTCAATACAATGCAATTCGTGCATGAAAGCCTCATGCACACATTTATTGTCTTATACTTAAAAATCTAGTATTAATGCACTTTCATCGACTACACTTATCCCCAGAGTATAGTTAAGCTAGGAGCAGACAAGGTGTACCTTCTGCACCCCTTCTAAGAGTGGATCCACAGTCTCCGTCCCCGCTGCTGGTGTCAAGATCGTTTAAAAGCTTCTCACTCTCCATCAATCGATAGCATACACTGCTCAAAACAGTCTTAATTCTCTTACAGGACTCTGGAATTGAACAAAACAAGAGGGAAAATGATTTTTGAAAAATGAAAAATGAAATCCAAAACCTGACAATTTTATTGTTTTTTGTTTTTGTTTCATTGATTTTATTTCTGCGTTCAAATAACAAATACAAGTTTATACATTTTTACATCAGTAGGCTATTACAATAGCAAATCAAATCAAATCATTATGTTTAGAATTAGTCCTTTCAAGGCAGGTAATTTTTAGGGCTGAATGGAACACATATTGTTCTTCAAATTGGCAAAATAAATATTTTCTTACTGCAACATTTTTCTATTTAATAAAATGAAATGTCTCTGAAAAAAAATTACTTGGGGTAAAAATTTTGCAATGAGTAATTTAAGAAATAAACTAAATCAAATACCCGCTTATGCAGTATACTTTCTTGATGGAAATAATAAAAATCTCACCATTACTCATTTTCTCTCCTTTTCTTGTCACATGGGTGCATGGATCCTAAAGAAGCTTGTTCTAAAACTGGGAGTTCTTTACCAAGTGATATGTTACCATGGCGATGAGATACAGATGGCCACGCTGGAGCTGAGGTTGCCTGATCTATCAACAATCACAATAAATTTTTCTAAATCATGCATTGAACAAGATAACGGAAGAACTATACCTGAAGTATCTTTTCCGGTAATCAAACAAACAAAATCGACTTTTACTATTTTGTAACTGTTTTACGAGGTATAAAAGCCATGTAGGGTATTGGTAAGCACTCAAATACTGTCTACAATAATTCTTTATATTAGTGGATAAAAAAGCATGTTTCCCATAATTTTAGGCATGAGTTGTAAGAAACAAATAATAGATACAAACAATTTTTAAATGACTTTGCACAGATTATAGCTTTTTTATCAGTTTCTGTCATATCACAGCACAGTGGAGTAAAAAAAGAGAAACATCACAATTGTGTATTTTAACAAAGACTTAACTCCTTCTCAGTGTGTCATGTCACTCTTTATTTTTATGAGTCTTACATACATCTATTTTATTGATCAGGACTATATTGCTACTCTGTTAAATGAAATATAGAGTTTATAATTAGAGTGTTGGTCATGTGATCATTCTGGAATAAATTATGAAGGTTAGTTATAAGAATTAGTGTACAGTGTGAGGTTTTATAATCTTCATTATGATAATTGTTTCGGCCTTGCCGAAAGTATCACAAACTGCACATAAAATGTATATATATACAGGACTACATTATTTGTGGTATGAAAGTTTGAATTAAACTTTCTTGTCATATTCAAAATGTGAGGTCATTCTTTCTATACTATTTCTCCAAAGTGACATAACAGAATGAGAAAGAACACAATCAAATTTTATCTTCACCAGAACTCAAACAAAGCTTTAAGCCCATCTGCACTAGTTTGGCCAGGGGTATTAGACCTCCCTGCAAGGTAACTGACAGGTGGATATATATCTCATCAAATCAGCTCTCAATTAACATAAGAAAAAGGACAATGATCATGGGGGATCAACGGGTACCGCTCAGGCATTGTTGGCTGTATTGAGGGCGCAAGTAGCTATAAGTAGTGCAGTGGGGCTTTCAGATAGGAGTAAAGACCACTCACCAAGATACGAGGCTCGGTGTCTACTCCGGTCCAGGATGAGGATAGTAAGAGAGATGCCGACCATCTCTAGTGATGTCATGAAGCAGCCACAGTAAACCCTCTCTACCTTCACTCCTGCATCACCTGCAATAGAAGCGAAAAGATCACAAGATCTAAACAAATGTAAACAATAACACAAAAGTTTTCTCAGGAAAAAACAAGATTCTACGAAAAAATCAGCAACCATGGCGAGCAAGACACGTGAGGCGGCAACCAAGGCAGACATGGCCGAGCTGACCAACACGATTGTGAGTCGATTTGATGGGCTGGCCGCCAACGTGGTAACCATTAAAAAAGACATTACCGAACTGCGCAAGGGACTAGAAGACCTAAAAGCGACAACTATCGACTCATCCGCAAGAATAAATGATTTAGAACAGAGCATACCTGCATTAAAGAACGAACGCTTAAAGGCAGAGAAGGAGCTGAGAGAAGCCATCTTGGCGATGGACATTCACAACAGAAAGCAGAACCTACTAATATACGGAATAGCAAAGGAAGCAGGTGAGAATGTGCAAAGAAAGGTACGAGATGTGATTGGAAATTTGGGGTTATCGGGAGAAGTTGTCACAAATATGTCGTTGATAAACGCCCATCGACTGCCTCGTAGATACCCTGGCCCACCGGGAGAGAAGCGAGGACCCGACCCCTTGATTGTATGATTCGGTACCATGTTTGACCGTGATCTCGTACTACGGCAGTATCAACAGAAACAACGCGACTTAATGGTGGCTGCGAGGGAAAATCGTGATGCCCAGAACCGACTTCCATTGGCTCCTTATCGACCTACCCCCACTTTTGAAGCGACGCCGTTTCGAGCTGGAAAAATGTGCCTACAGATTAAGGAAAGAAGGAAATCAGTCAACGAGAATCCGCGTAGTTGGAATCGAAGTAGTGCTCGAGAAGCGAGAGAAAGGTTCGACATCGGCTTGGAAAAGAGAAGTTGAGTAGATTGAAGTTGAAAAATGTCATCATCATCATGGTCACCAGTTCATTTTCCTGTATATTTTGTTGATATTGAATTGAAGTTAGTATTGATACCGTCAATAATACTAAAGCGATCTATCTTCAACGATTGAAAACTTGAAAAGTGTGACTACTAATACTAGTATTACAGATAAAGAAAAGAAAGAAATCGTCTAAGATTCCCGTTATCTGAATCGATTGTGATAATGAGACAGACCAAGGAAAAAAGTCTACATCTACATCGGCTTGAAGTTGAAGGACTAAAAGACCTAAGATATCAACAGATGGTGAGTATCTTTGGTACATTTTCTTTCTTTTTTTATATAGGAATCAAATATTCAGTTTGTATCACTCCAAAGTGACAAATAAAATGTGAAGAATGTTAAGATTAAGATTCAAGCAGTTCTTTGGGCAATGAAGAAAAGCCATGCATGATGTACATCATGATATTTTGTATTATGTCCAATAGTAAATTACCCACTATTTTGTTGGGAATGTTGGTATGTAAAATAATGAAAGGAGAGAATGTGGATATAACTGTAAAACAGTTCGAAAATCAGGCAGATTATTCCTTGCATTTAGATTTTGTCTGTCTAAGATATTTAGAGTGTAATGAACATAAACATTCTTTTGATTTGAACTTAAATTTCCTTATATCCATAGAAAATGTCATTTTCAGAGGATGCTCTGATTTTGATACGTTTTCATTTTTTCACTTATTGTAGTACTCCTAAAAGAAGGAAGGTAGAGAAAATTTTATGTTTAGAGGATGCTCTGATTTTGATGATACGTTTTCATTTTGTAACTTATTGTAGTACTCCTATTAAGAAGGAAGGTAGAGAAAATTTTATGTTCAGAGGATGCTCTGATTTTGATACGTTTTCATTTTTTTTTCTCACTTATTGTAGTACTCCTAAAAGAAAGAAGGTAGAGAAAATTTTATGTTCAGAGGATGTACTGATTTTGATACGTTTTCATTTTGTAACTTATTGTAGTACTCCTAAAAGAAGGAAGGTAGAGAAAATGTTATGTTCAGAGGATGTACTGATTTTGATACGTTTTCATTTTGTAACTTATTGTAGTACTCCATAAAAGAAGGAAGGTAGAGCAAATTTTATGTTCAAAGGATGTTCTGATTTTGATACGTTTTCATTTTTTGCACTTATTGTAGTACCCCTAAAAAGGGAAAGATTATGAATCAAAGTTGTCAGAAGTAAATTTTCATTATACTTCCAGTCTCTGAATTGTTGTTTATCTTTTAATTTTCTTATGTTTAAAAAAAAAGACTGAGGTATTGGTTTTTGGGAAGGATTCTAAGGATCTGAGGATTCTAAAAGTCATATTTTTGACTTGCAAGACAGCAACATGACTCATTTAGTTCATTGGCAGTGGAGAATAGTACTTTTAGTTTAGTTCTGGATGCAGGATTTGGCAACGCTAAAGAATGTATTCAGATGTACACTGTAGATCTCGTAAGAAACCATGCGCATACCTTCAACAGGTGTCTTCCTTTGTAAATTTCAATAAGCCTTTATAGAAATGTACTTGCTTGAACTCTTGAACTTAAGATGTTGCACCATCTATCTCTATCTCTCTTTCTGTTACACTCCCTGCTATGTAAATTAATGTAAATCGTTGCTCTTGTATTTCAAAGGGTCTTGAGAGGATTTATTTTGGCCACAATGCTGTTGCCCGTGGCTTGTCGGTCGTGTCGTTACTCGACCTTTGTGTTTGATGTTTGTGTTTCTGTATGTGTGTTAGTTGTATTTATATTGAAAAAATTTTGCACAGGTAGTTCGTCGTCTTTTTTCGCCTCAGTACTCTCGTCTGATGCAGGGTGACATTACTTTTATTTCAATGAATTGTCACGGCCTAGCAAATGATAAGAAAAGAGAAGATGTTTTGTTATATTTGAAATCTAAACAATATGATGTATGTTGTATTCAAGACACTCATTTCACTCCTGACATAGAAACAGAAATATGTCGCAAATGGGGAGGCAAGTGTATTTTGTCTTATCATACATCCAGCTCTAGAGGAGTAGCAATTTTGTTTAAGGATACTATTCCGGTCAAAGTTAATCAAAGTAGAATAGACAATGGTGGAAACTTAGTAGTTTTAGATTTGACATTATATGAGTACGACATTACACTGGCGTCTTTATATGGCCCGAACACTGATAATCCAACTTTTTATACTGATTTACAACGTATCATAACAGAGTTCGAAAATCCACATGTTGTTATTTGTGGAGACTGGAATTTAGTGCAGGACCAGACCCTTGATACTCATAATTATGTTCATGTAAATAATCCTAGGGCGAGACAGCAGGTTAAAAATATGAAGGACGAATTAGATCTATGTGACCCATGGAGAATTAGATATCCTGTGAAAAAATATTACACGTGGCGCCAGCCGAACCCTTTTAAACAAAGTAGATTAGACTTTTTTTTTATATCATCAGAATTACTATCATTAGTTCATAAATCTGATATTTTATCTGGTTATCGAACAGATCACTCATTAGTTCGTCTTAGCTTGTCTTTAAATAAAATTAAACGGGGTCCGGGAATTTGGAAATTTAATAATTCTCTATTAAAAGATGAAAATTTTGTGTCAAAAATTATAAAAACTATAAAAGAGACAATTACATTTTATGCAAAAGATGAGGTAGAGTTTGATGAAAAGGATATAGTTGGAAATTGTGAATTGTCTATCAATGACCAATTATTTTTTGAAACTTTGATAATGCTATTGCGGGGTGAATCTATATCCTATGGCTCGTTCATTAAGAAACAAAACATCAGTCGGGAAAAGGAACTGGAAAGAAATATCGAAGTACTGGAACAAAGACTAGTGATATCGAATGATAAGACCGCATTACTAAAAGAATTAAGTGACAAAAAGTCACAACTTGAAACCTATCGCTTAAAAGTAAATGATGGAATTATCATGAGATCTAGAATCAAATGGATGGAGCTGGGAGAAAGGTCATCAAAATATTTTTTAAACTTGGAAAAACAGAATAAAGTAAATAAAGAAATACGGCAATTGTCAACAGAAAATGGAGATGTTATTAGTGGACAAGATGGTATATCTAACGAAATCTTTAAATTTTATTCAAACTTATATAAGGCGAAAGACACTGAAGAGGTAGATATAGACACATTATTAAACTATCCAGATATTCCTAAGTTAACTCCAGAATTGTCCACATTATTAGAAGGTCCTTTGAGTGAAAGTGAGGTTTGTTTAATGCTAAAAAGTATGAAAAATAATAAATCCCCTGGGCAAGATGGCTTCACCGTTGAATTTTTTCGTTTCTTTTGGCAATATCTTAAAACGTTCATTATCAGATCTTTGAACTTTGCTTATTTTACAGAAGAATTGTCGCAGTCACAAAAATTAGGAATTATCACTTTAATTCCTAAAGGAAACAAGCCTCGACATTTATTAAAGAATTGGCGTCCTATTTCACTTTTAAATGTTATATACAAAATAGCATCTGGGTGCATAGCTAATCGATTAAAGCAAGTATTGCCCCGCTTGATACATGAAAATCAAAAAGGATTTTTGAAAGGCCGTTTTATCGGAGAAAATATTCGTTTACTTTATGTCTTTTTATGATATATTATTATATACCGAACTTAATGATATTCCAGGCATGTTGTTGATGATTGATTTTGAAAAGGCCTTCGATTGTATATCTCACAAGTTTCTAATCAATGTCCTCGACTTTTTTCATTTTGGGCCATCGCTGAAAAAATGGATTAATCTATTTTATCAAAATGCTTCTTCTTGTGTCACAGTAAATGGTTTTTGCACAGAAAGATTTACTATAGGACAAGGGTGTCGTCAAGGAGACCCATTATCTCCATACCTGTTTTTACTTGTTAGCGAAATATTAGGAATTTTGATTAGACATTCCAATGATTTAATTGGCTTGCATCTACAGGGAAAAAATAGTAAATTACTACAATACGCAGATGACACCATTTTGACACTTAACGGTACAAAAGAAGATTTACAGAGCTCATTGAAAATATTGGGTGATTTTGAAGAAATGTCAAACCTAAAGATCAATATTACAAAAACTCATGTGATATGGATTGGGAAAAATAGAGCCTGCAAAAAACAGCTAATGCCAGAGCACAAACTAAATTGGGTATCAGAAGGTTATTCGAGATACTTAGGAATAGATTTTTCGGTTAACTTAGTAGAGATGGTAAATCATAATTATACTGAAAAAATTAAAGATATAAAACGCCAAATTATTTCATGGTCCAAACGAACCTTAACTGTCCTCAGAAGAATAACTGTAGTCAAATCTTTGTTGGTGCCAAAATTGAACTATTTGTTGCTTTCACTTCCAGAACCGAATTCGCAAATTATGAAAGATATAAATCGTTCTTTGTATGCATTTATATGGGGTAACAAACCTGATAAAATCAATAGAGAACAAATGTGTCAACTGTATAATAAAGGTGGGGTTAAGATGATTGATATTTACATTCATGCTAAATCCCTGAAAATATCATGGATTAGAAGATTTGTAACTAATTCTCAGATAGAAAGTTTCACTTTTCACATTTCCAATTCATTCTTGCCCCAAACCTATTTTTTTCACCTGTATATGGGCTCACATTATTTTAGAAAATTAGCAGACTTGACTCCAAATCCATTTTGGAAAGAGGTCCTTTTCGCTTGGTCAGACTTGGTCGAACTTCTTATTGACGACATTGCAAGTCAACCTCTCTGGAATAACCCCCACATTAAAATAAATGACAAAGTGGTATTTTGGGGGGCTTGGAATTTACGAGGAATACGTTTTGTGAATGACATCCTAAAAATAGATGGTTCTTTTTGTTCATATTTTGAGTTTCAACGGAGATTTGACATACAAACAAACTTCCTCCAGTACTATGGTCTTTATAATGCAATTCGGTCAGGTTTTAAAATGACTACACATGTAGCTCCTAGTAAGGCCTTGGCACCTATCATTCCCGAAGCCGTGCACCTTGTGGTGAAAACAAATGTTGGTTGTTCACATATTTATCAGTCTTTGCTAAAAAACAAAGTAAAAGAATGTAAAGCCCTTACAAAGTGGTAAAGTTTTTTAGATTTTCAAGATGTACTTTGGGGTTCGTATTGTCAAAATTCCATTTTTAGTCAACAATAGATATCAACATGAGGTGGTTTCAAATCAAGATTTTAAATAGACCATTATATATGAAGACAGTTTGTTAAGATTTGGTGTAGTGGCTGACAAGAAGTGTAATTTTTGTAGTAACAATGATGAAACTATCATACATGTTTTTTGCTTTTGTAACTATTCTAATGAAGTATGGTCGAAGTTAGAGTTCTGGATATTTCGTAATACGGGGGAAAGGATCAAATTTACAAATCAAAATAAATTGTTTGGGTTTTGCGGTAGCAATAATAATGCACTCAACTGTGTTCTGATGGTTGTAAGACAAGAAATATTTTCAGCTAAATTACGAAATCAACTACCATCATTTGATATAATTTTATCAGCTGTAAAACGTTATTATGAAATGGAAAAATATATATATACCAAACAAATCTCAGAGAGAATAAACTGAAAAAGAAATGGTTTCACTTTAGAAAATATTTTGAGAGTGTTGGAAATGTGCTAACATAAACATGATCATGTATTTTATGTTTGGTATTTTTTTTAAATTATATATTTAAAGTACTAATTTTGTCATAAATGTTTGTTTTTATCTGCCACAAAAGTTTTTGACCGTGATGATTATTATCTGTGTCAAGCCATTATGTGTGGAAATTATTTCTTTAATTATTTGTATATATATGATATATGGATATTCTGTATAATTATGATGAAATTTGTTTTGAAAATAAAGAACCCTGTGGAAGGGGGGAAAAAAAAATAAAAAAAAATAATAATAATTGATCCAACTTGAGATTCTGGACTTTAATGTGCCCAGTCAGTACAGCCAAAGACCCCGTTCTCATTCACTTCTCAGACCCATCCAGGCTAGATCAGTCTAACCGTGAGTGTGAACAGACAAATAGTCAAGTCGGGTATAGGAAATTGTATATAAATCTGCCCTCGGGAAAGTTACTATTTATGCCTCCTCATTAGCTAATTTTTTTGCTAGACCCTCGAAAGGTATTGTATAGTTGTATACTATTTGATTAGAATAAGGAGAAAGTTTGAGTGTTTGAATGGATTAATTAGTTATGAACTGATTTATTTTGTCTCTTACTGAATATCATTTTCAATGTAGTCCAATGAAGGAATTCATGCTGTCTGTCTATTTTATTACTCCTTCATAAATCTTGCTTGAAATAGGAAGAGATCAGAGATTAGTAACAGATTAACAGTATCGTTGAACAGGTAACTTCTATCACATAATAGATGTATACCCCATCTTCCATAGCTTTCAATTTGATTTCTTCCAAATTAAGACATTTGAGAACTTCATTAATGAAATCCTAAATGCTCCTCTTTCTTTTGTATTGTAGGCCTGTCATGTGACTTTGAGAGCCCCTGTGATTGGCTAAGTCCTCCTATTGACATGTTCACTCCAGGATGGGAGGTACGAGAGGGGGCGTCGACCAACCCTTACACAGGACCCCCCGGAGGTTATGATCCGAGCGGGGAAGGTATAGTTTATATCTTTTTTAATCTCTTTTACATCTTTTATCTCTTTTACTTTCTATTTCATAACTTTAAACCATGGAAAATGAATTATATTATTGAACATTGAATTGTATATCTGATCTCTTGTCAAAATTACTGTTCTGTTGGAAATGAAAATAAAACTGAAAACTGAAACTGAAACATGGTGTCAGAGAGTTGATTTATTTCCTATATCAACTTTATGCTGACATAAAGAACAACAAAATTGAATCCTGGATTGGCGAACAAGTTGCAGCAGAGAGTATTGTACTCACTTTTGAATATCAAGGATAGAATTCTTGATCAAGAACTAAGGGTATAGTTCATTCGGTTCAAAAGGCGTAAATCTTTATAACTAAAGGTCACATAATACAAATTTTCATTGAGGTATACATGTGATACAATGAAAACATTTCCATATTTACTATTGCTTCCACTACCGCTGATTTTCCTTCTGAAATAAGAATACCCTAATGCAATCAGTTATGATGAGAATAAATATCTTCTGTTTCATAGCCAGGAGGGCTTAAAAGGTAAAGATCAGTTATGGAAACGCCCCCCTCTCAAAAATGAATGGTAGCTCTTATTACCAATCATGTGAAAGAATATGTTTTGACTAATACGTGATCATACACCACCTACAATTGATATATTTGGTAAATTATTATATCTATTTGGACCTGATAGATATCGTGCACATGTTGCGTAGTCCCATATACATCTTTCTGTGTACAGTACTTTTAACTTTACCAAGACTGGGCCAAATTTCTTATCATTTTGATGATTCCAGAACCTTGCAGTACACACCAATACTTATATGCTAGATGATCAACCTTTTCTGATCAATTCCACAACGTTCCTTTGACAATGCAATCGCATGATCATAACTGGACTTTATCTTTAACTCTTATTTTTCAAACAGATAAATGTCCTTCTGTCTTTCAACAGACAAGGGACTGCAGTGGAAAGAAAGAGAGAGAGAGAGAGAGAGATAGAGAGAGAGAGAGAGATAGAGATAGAGAGAGAGAGAGAGAGAGAGAGATAGAGATAGAGAGAGAGAGAGAGATAGAGAGATAGAGAGAGAGAGAGAGAGAGAGAGAGATAGAGAGAGAGAGAGAGAGAGAGAGAGAGAGATAGAGATAGAGAGAGAGATAGAGATAGAGATAGAGATAGAGATAGAGATAGAGAGAGAGAGAGAGAGATAGAGATAGAGATAGAGAGAGAGAGAGAGAGAGAGAGAGAGAGAGAGAGAGATAGAGATAGAGAGAGAGAGAGAGAGAGAGAGAGAGAGATAGAGATAGAGATAGAGAGAGAGATAGAGAGAGAGATAGAGATAGAGATAGAGAGAGAGAGAGAGAGAGAGAGATAGAGAGAGAGAGAGAGAGAGAGAGAGAGAGAGTAGGAAAGAGATTGACAGAGGAGTATAACGAGGATCAAGAAAAGAAATAGATGGCCAAACAGAGAGAAAATAAATACTTTTTGCCATAAAAAACGGCTTTCATGAGCATACTAATACATTCTTGCATATAGAAACAGAATTTAATGATAACCACGCCAGCATGCTGAATAGAATATGAATACATGTACATTTACCTACTGGCCCCTAACTCATATTACCTGAAGTAAAGACGAGGCATCCATGGATCCTTCTTATGAGATGAAGAGGGCCGTTAAGTTATTTTGGTGAATCAAAAACATGCAGAACCAGAAAGGTGTAAATAATTTCAATGTAAGGTACCAAAGGTACTTCCAAAATACCAATAACTAATGGAAATAAAACATGCATAAACCAAGATATTAACATTGATAATGATGATAGTGACTTTTAAAGGACAAGTATTTAAAGTATGCTGGAAATGGTTACACTCTTTTGTGCCAGCGACTCTAAGGCCTTTTAAGAGTAACAGTTTGGACTTTTGAGCCTTTGTTCATGCTGGATGGGTATGATATATCACTTTTCCTTGAAACTAAACTGCATTGTGGATATATTAATGTACCTAGTGTGGTTTCAGAAAGAAAGAGCACTTTTCTTTTGCTAAATGTGAAGACTAACATTATTTCTCTGGAAGAATTGTTCTACTTCAGCCAAATTATGGACTGAATTCCATGGCAGAATTCCCACTTATGATAAAAGGAACGGTAAATAATAACTTGCCTTTAAACTGATTTAGAGAAAGGTGATCTCTTTAAATATCTCGATAATTTGACTTAAAGCCCCTTGCACTGCTCTACTTATAGCTACCGGTACTTGTGCCCTCTACATAGCAAACAATTCCTAATCGGTGCCTGTTGGTCCCCTTTGATCCTCTTTTTCTTATGTTCGAGAGCTGATTTGATGAGATAACCACCTGTCAGTGACCTTGCAGGAAGGTCTAATCCCCCTGGCCAAACTAGTGCAGACAAGCTTTAACATGAAAGCAATCGAACGAACCCCCAATCCTTATTTTGACTGTGAAAACAAATCTACGTTGGATTTGACTTTAATGATAAACAAACATATGCCAAACCTAGGACCTTTCATTTCCTTCTACAGAATGTCAGCATTTATAATGAATTGGAAAGACCATGTTAACCATAAAAGCATTTCATGCTAGACCAATTTGTCCATTGTGCATCAATTTGTCGGAAGCGTGTCAACCGTGACATTTTCTTTGATACCCTGGTGACGGATCTTTATCAATGATTAAGTTCCACAGATGAGGGAGCTAATCTCAAAGTGATGAATTATAGATAACCAATTACGTTATCTACAGATCGGTTGCGACAATCATCTATATATTTATCAGATTATGATGGATGAATGCTCAAGGTAATTTGATACAAAATGGGAAATTGTTGACTTTTCATGAGACTCTATTAGTATGGAGAATTATTAATTTAGTTCTTTATATGTAAAGCACGTCAACATTTAATTTAGACTCATGATTTTTGTTATACTTATTTTGAAATTTGAAGGTGTTTCAAGGTGTTAATATAGGCATTGTTTTGGGGAAGATCAGCTCCTTTGAAAGGCTTTGATAGCACCTTTTTGAATCAGCTATTGGTTTAAGGTGTTGGTAAGCACCTTACTGAACCAGCAACTACCTTTGAAGGTGTCAATAAACACCTTTTTGTACAAACACCTCTGTTTAAGGTGTTGATAAGCACTCTTTTGAACCAGTCAAGAATTCTAAAGGTTTTTAAAAGCACGTTTTTTAACTGTCAACTCCTTTTAAGGTTCTTAAAACCACCTTAATCCTGTATTGTATCAACTCCTCAAAAACAAATATGGTTTCCATTCAATAACTTTAGTAATGTTTGACAGGTTTTAATGAAATTTGATATGAAAGTACATGGTATCAAAATACAGCCTGAGGTCGATTTCTGAGTATGTAAGCCAAATGTCACAGCTCATTAAATATGCAAAATTGCTAATAAAGAATTGCTAATTAGGTACGTGGTAATTAGTTACAGTAATTATGTATGCAAAATTGTCGTTTTTCGTTTGATAACTTAAGTAACGTTGGTTGGATTTTGATCGTATGAACGTATCATTATAGGCCATTTGTACCAGGAGAGGGGATGCTACGCTCTGCATTTTCTTGTTATTTCTCTCGCAGAAGCACAACTCATTTCATACAAATAACCCCAAATCATTTGGTGGATTTTAAGTAGGAGTAGATTCATAAAAATGGAGGGTTTTGGACTGGAAGTGCTCATAGGGAAAGATTACAATGTTAAAAATGAAAATTTCACAGACTTATTTCACAAAATTATGTGGATATACATTAAAACAACCATGCGTTTGCTATACCCGCCCACACTCTTCTTTTCCAATTTGTCAATGACATTCTTTGGTTGTTCTATTTGTTTGTTTTCTCATTGTATATTGTATCTTACATTTATATTTTTTGATGAAATTGTGCAATAACACTTGCATAATTGCATTTTGTATAGGTTCGATTAAAAATATATAAATTGACTCATATCAAATACATTAAGCAATCTCAAAATCAAATGTATTTGTGCACTCTCAAAATGTGAAATGTTATTTCAGAATCATATTATGATTACAATGTTTTCTTTAGACAGTGTTTGCCTATTTTATAGAATAATGTTCCTTTTTCTTTTTATATTTGTTTTTATAGCCATAGGGAACTACACCTATGTCAGTTCTCATGGAAAGTTGGATAGGGCAATGGCTGAACTGGAGAGCCTCACTTACCAAGAGAGTGGTGCTCTCTGCAGCATCAACTTTTTCTACTACATGAACGGAACTGACACCGGGACACTTACATTATCGGTTGCCATGGACAACCAGAGATATCCCATCTGGCAACGCTTGGGCAGCCAAGCAGCAAGGTATGGCACTTTGTTTAATTTGGATGATTAGCTTTGAGGATTGTTAAAGGATAAGAGATGATGGCAGGTAACTATCTGCTGACATGCAAGCTCCAGCCTTGGCCTTTGTTCAAAGCTCATACCTTCCATGAGATAAACGGAATTGAACGATAATCAATATTCAACATTATTTAATGTTAGTACTCTATACACCGATTCGGTTTGGGGGTTTTATGTACCTGCCCGCCGGTGGCGGCGCTATAACTGGGGGGCTTCTCCGATCCAGCTGACAGTACAGAGAGCTCGAGAGCGGTTACTAGCTAGCGGAGCAGCGACCCTGGCCGGCCTGGGCGAGGTTCGGTATAGGTATAGCTTTTGCATGCGCTGCAATGCAATGTAAGCTAGCTAGCTGCAGTCAGACGCCCCCCAGTTATGGCGTCACCTTATGAGGGCGCACTTCCACCAGAAGTCGCCCGAATCGGTGTATAGTGCAGTCTTTTTTATAACTGATAAAATGGTGTATTTTACCGGTGTGTTGGCTCAGTCAGTAGAGCGTCTGCCTCACAACCGGAAGGTCGTGGGTTCGAACCCCGGCCACGTCACACCAAAAGACGTTAAAAGACGGGAGTCGCTGCTACCTTGTTTGGCGTTCAACAATAGGGGATAGAGCAACGTCGATCTGGCGCTGCTCAGTGGCTGCCGGGCTCACGATCAATTGGGCAAAAAGAATTTTCATTTTCGGTTTAACTTAATAAAATTTGGAGTGGACTTTAACAGATTATTATTATAAAGTTGTGGTCTAGTGGATACGCCACAGTGCTGGGAGCAGGCGCGGATCCACGGGCCCAATTCTTCCGGCCCGGCTATTGCAAGCCCTTTGTGTAAAAACTAGATAAACTCTATTTTTCTCAGATAAACTCTGTTTTTCTCAGATAAACTCAGTTTATCAACAGATAAACACAGTTTATCAGAAAAACTCAGTTTATCAGTTGATAAACTCAGTTTATCAGTTAATAAACTCAGTTTATCAAGAAAAACTCAGTTTATCAATGATAAACTCAGTTTATCAACAGATAAACGGAGTTTATCAGATAAACAGAGTTTATCAGTTGATAAACTCAGTTTATCAGAAAAACTCAGTTTATCAGTTGATAAACTCAGTTTATCAGAAAAACTGAGTTTATCATTGATAAACACAGTTTTTCTGATAAACTGAGTTTATCTAGTTTTTACACAATGGGCTTGCCATAGCCGGGCTGGTAGAATTGAGCCCGTGGATCCGCGCCTGGCTGGGAGTCACATTGTTCGCCATTAGAGTCCTGACACCGCACCTATGTCCTTTGGCAAGACATTAATCTACATTTGCCACTCTCCACCCAGGTGAGGTGAATGGGTATCTGGTAGGAATTTATTTCTTAAATGCTTTTAGTGCCTCAGAGCTGCTGGGTTATAGCCAGGGTATAAACAATAGTACTTTGTAGGTAACTTGAGCATCCTCTGGGATGGACACGTGTACAATATAAATGTAGCTATTACAGTCAAACCTGTCTATAGGGACCACCCAAGGGAAACACAAAAAGTGGCCTTTAAAGACAGGTGGCCTTTGTAGACAGGTTCCCTTAGTACATTTTTTAATGAGAAACCATTTTCAAGGGAAACAAAAAAATGTGGTCCTTGTAGACAGGTTGTCTTTAAAGAAAGGTGGTCACTAAAGCAGGTTTGACTGTATTATCATTATCAAGATCACAATTAAATCATGTATGCCCAATAATTTTGTTAAAAACTGCATTAGATATGGAGAAGAAAAAAAGAGAGAAATTTATTAAAATATGCAATATGCTTTTTAATCTTTTCAACTACACTTCTTTCATTTAGGTGGATAGATGAAGTCATACTGTTAAGGTCAATGCCCTTGCCATTCCAGATTGTGTTTAAGGCTACGATGACAGGGGGAAGTGAAGGAGATATTGCTCTGGATAATATACAGCTTCTAGACTGCTCACCAGGTCAGTTGATAGTAGAGGTGACCAGGGGGGTGTTTCACAAAGATCCTAAGTTGAACTTATCATTAAGTTGGACTTAACAGTTATGGAAAGCCGTTAGTTTCTATGAAAATATTGTGTAAAGTTATTTTAAAAGGCATAAAATGTTGATTCAAATCATTCATATTTTCTGTTATCAAGGAGATTTCATGTTCTTGATGTGGAATTTATGAAAAGTCTAAAATATTTCAATTTTTGCTTTTGAATATATTTTATTTTAAAGCTACAAATGGCTCTTCATAATATTTAAGTCCAACTTAGAGTTTAGGTTGGCTTAGGACCTTTGTGAAACACCCCCCTGGTCTAGTAGATATGTCGCTGGACTGGGAATAACATTTTTAGCAATTTGAGTCCTTTTACAAGATATTTATCTGTATATGCCACTCTTCACCCAGGTGTATTAAATGTATTGAGTGTATTAAATATCTGGGACGATTTGATATGTATGTTTGTTTCAAAACAGCTTTGCGTTTATCATCTCTCAGAAACATGATTCTGGCTCATTCTCACATTCAAAACACACTTTTTTGGGCGTTTCAACATACCCATATCTAAAGACGTTTGAAAACAGGCTTGCATTTATCACCATGCAAATTTGCCTGAAACACGTTTGAAAACTCTGGTTCTAACCCAGAAAAGGGATGATAACCACTCTCTAGTCGGCCTGCCCATGCCTAATATGAATTTGATTAAGTTTTCTTCACTGTGGGATGATTCATCGGTCCAGGGATGGAAGGTCATTATCTCTGTGTTAAAGTAGTCACCGAAGAAAATTCACGACAATTGATAATTATGGACAAATTATATGGATGGAAAGATTTTCTCTAGAAAAACATGATTAATTTCCTGAAAAATCTTATAGATATCATGGAAAGGTGTAGAATGCTTTGTGGCTAGCTGTGTCTTGCATGTGACGTCATTAATCTTGACGCTCTACGGAGGACCGCTGAAAGCAGAAAATCTGGATCTCAAAATTAACATTTTTGAGAGATGATTACTGCAGGCCCCAAACATATTTTGAAGAGGAAAGTTGTTATATCTGATCAGTATGAATTTTGCATAAATTCAAAACACTTTTGATTCTTTGGGTGACTACTTTAAGATCAATGCCCTTCTGGCTCCTAGCTAGCAAATGATATGTACATATATGTTGCAAGAGATTTCTTTCTAAGCCTGTTGGACATTAAGGCTTGAATGAGCAATTCTGAGTAGATTTATAGGTTGCCAGGAAATGTGACCTTTATAGAAATGGAGCACAGGATTTTTTGTTTGGTTAAGATGATGCACTTTGGATTGAAATCAGTGATGATTGAGGGAAGGATGGGGGAGAATGAGAAAAGAGGAGACATTGACCTGGAACGGGAGAAGTCAAGTTTTGTGATAAAACTGCAAGGAAAAGACACTATTGGGAAATACCTTTTGGATTTAATTTGATTGGATAAAGAAGAAAGGGAAAAGAGAAGAAGATGTTGTTGAGATGGATGAGGAAGCTAAGATAGATGTAGAATGAGAGTGTAGATAGCAGTGGGGTGCAGCCTACTTATTCTTTGTTTACAAACGAGGAAGATATTGAGAGAAAGAGCCAGATAGATAAATCTAGAGGGAGAGCAAGAGAGAAAATGAGAAAGTAAGAGAAAGGGAGAGAAAATGTGAGAGAGACAGGGAGAGAGAAGGTTGCAAATAAGAAAAGTTTCATAGGGAGATATACATCAAAATAAAGTAAGGAGGGTGTAAAACAAAAATAAGGATAGATAACAAGAAAATGTTGGAAGAGATAAACATGGAAAGGAAAAGGGATAGGAAGAGAGGGCAAGAAGGAGAGAGGTAGGGAAGGAAAGATAGAGAATGAAAGAGAGAGAGGTAAAGAGAGAGAGAGAGAGAGAGAGAGAGAGATTGTGAAAAAGAGGGAAAGTGGGATGTAGATACAGTTATATTCAGATAGAGAGAGAGAGAGAGAAAGAGAGAGAGAGGGAGAGAGAGAGAGAGAGAGAGATTGATAGATAGTGAGGGGTGAGGGGCATAGAAGGGACATTACCGGTACATAAATGTAATACAAAAATGGACAATTTATATATTCCACAAAACATCAAAAACAGATAAGCAAACTATCTTTTCAACAAATCAAAAATGATCACTAAACCATGCAACACCATGCACAGAAGGAAGAGTATTTTATGACCCTTTTTGCTTTGTTTTTCAGTCATTTAGAACCATGATTGATAACTTTTGAATATCATCTGACAATAGCCCCATTAGAACCAATTCAGGTTGAATTAAGTGGAAAGATGAGAGCATTATATTCATGTTCTTAAAATGGTTTTAGTACAATCCATTATGTTGCCTATTGAGATCCAGAAAGGACCTATGAAACTCTTATGTTAATGCCTGTGAATAGGTATGTCCTCATCAGCTCGAGATTGCCAAATAACCCGCTATTTTAACTATCCCGATCGCAAATTATCCAGCTAGTTTGCCTCTTCATCAGCCCGAGTTGCAATGAGTGGAATCTTTGGTTGAGATAATCATCCCAAGATTTCTTGTGCTAGTTTGCAAAATATCCTGCTATTTGGCTGGTGCGTCTTCACCAGACCGAAGACTGGCACAATGCGCAAACGCTGAGCAAAATATCTCAAGCTAATTTCTCAAGGTCGAATCTCGAGCTGATGAAGAAGCGATTTGTAACTTCAGGCTTATTTCCCATATCAGAAATTGCAGGCTATTTGGCAATCTCGAGCTGATGAAGACATACCTAGTGAGTCGAATCTCTGCTGGCTCTCAGCAGAGGATATATTAGATGGGCCATGCAAACATGCAAGCTGCTTTCAAGAGTGCTATCTCTTATCAGGAGAATAAAGAAATTTAGTGAGCTCTTAAAACATTTTGTCTGTGGAGATTCAAAAGGGCATGATATATCTGTGAGCATCACGCCATTCAGTGAAATTCCGCTCATCTTTTTTTAACAAAGACATCTTCTAAACTAATGTTTTGATGTGAATTGACCATGTAAAATATTATTAAAACGAAATACATCAGAATCAAAAAATTATTTATTACAAAATAAACTACGGTAAATGCTTTCTATTTTGAAAAACAAGTTTAGGAACCAAATATAAGACGACAATAAATGATTAATGAACTGAAATGAGGAGAAGGTGAAAGTCAGAGAGAAAAAGGTACTAAGTCGTTAATAATCAATAAGGTTCTCCATTAAGAGCTTCCTTGCTAGGCACCCACCCGCCTACGTAATGTGAATGTACATAGTGTAAAGGAGCATGAAGGCTGATACTCATCACTCCATTTCATCACTTGTCATCCGTTAGGATCCATGGATGAGCAATGTTTGTCTTTAAGTTATCGTTTAACAATGTTAAATCTGAGATGCGTGGCCCTACGTGTTATCAGTGTCTGTGATTTGGTGTAATATTGAAGCCCTAAAAAAATTGTGTTTCAAAATGATCATGAAGTGCCTCAAAAAAGTAAAAAAATCTTTGAGTGACCGGTTCTACCGTTATCATTTTCTCCAAATGACTGTAGTGTTATAAAAAACGTTAGGAAAACAAATTTTGCAATTTCTAATTCCAATCATAGATATCTTGATAATCAGACAGGCGATTGCTTTGTAAAAGTCATGGGATTCCTGACTGACCTAAGGTTTATAATTTGATTGCAGCATGAGCAAAATCCATGATTTTGTTTCAGAATCTGAGGCAATGTTACCGAGTCACTTTAACAATGATTCTGTGAATTTTAGAACTTGTTAGTCAATCATTTAACCATATGTGGAGCCCCACAGAATACCCCCCCCTATTTTTTTGTATATCTTTGACTATGTATGTATGACACAAGTATATTTCTAGCCCCCATATAGTCCCTCCTCTTAGTTAATTAGGTACCCCCTCCTGCGAGAGTGGCCTCACCCACAACTAACCTAAACACACCAGCTGGGATACCAGGAGTGGCTTCTCACTTTGTTTTGCCATGCATCCTAGTCAACACCTTTCTTATTTTGTCTTCCTTTAATAGGTAAGAAAGAATCTTATATTATTCAATTGTGTTATATTCTTATTCTTCATAATATGTGTATTTCTAAACTATTAGCTTCACTATTCACATATCTTGTATTAGTATTACTGTGTAAAAAGAGATATTAATGATCTTTGCCAATGACTTGTTGGATTATATGACATGTGGACTATGAGAGGAAATATAAGAAATGTCATGTGGGAAGAGATAATGTCATTGATGAACATAGTAATCACTTGTAGAAATGATAGGAAAGTATTATCGTGTGTGTGAGATTGATGATTATGTTGTTTGACTTAATTAGACAACATTTTAAGTAAGTTTTGAGAAGAGAACATACTTCTTTAATGTCAGTATATTTGTCTTTTGCTTGATATTCATGTGTATATTCTTAGCCTAGGACATGTGCCATTTACTATGCATTATGCCAAAGCACATTGTTATATATTATAGTTTGGTTAGATACAGTTTTGATAGCGAAATGAGTGGTTCAAGTCCAGATTATCTTTAACTTTCAGTATTATGGTATGAGTGAGTGTGGACGCACCATGTGTACAATACTAGTGTGTTATCGGGAAATGGCAGTGCAAGCAGTGTAAACACAACTTCTTATCAAAGTTCTTAATCCCCTCTCCCCAAGCTTTGTTTGCTTTTTGCCCATGCTGGAAAATGGTATCTTAGGCGGGAATGAAAGTTTGGTTGGGGAATACACTTGTTGAGAAACACATGGTCAAATTGTCTAATAGTTAGCTAGTGATGGATGGGTTGATGAAATATTGTAGTTAAAGACTTGCATAATCACTGTCTGGAATTCATTGTATTATATTGTTAGGAATGATAATTCAGGTTAAATGTTATTGGGAATTACTCTCTCTCTCTCTCTCTCTCTCTCTCTATATATATATCTCCCTCTCTCTCTCTCTCCCCTCTCTCTTTATATTCTCTCCCTCTCTTTTTCTCTCTCTCTCTCTCTCTCTCTGTATGGTTCACCCTTTCTCTTTCACTCTCACTTTGCTTTGTATATAACCATGAAATGAATATACATGTATTTAGTAAAACTATTGGTTGTTGTTTAGAATTAGAATATGAACTGTATGTGAAGATGAGATTATACAGTAAGAGGAATTCGTAATATTGGTTGTAAGTTTGCTAGAGCTATATAATTAGTGCAGACTGCAGACTAAGACTATTTGCCAGTTCTGTGAATATTGTAAGGAGTTTAGGATATAAGTTGTTGAAGATGTATCTTTTCAAGTTCAGTAATCTCGCTGAAAAAGATAGTATTAGATCAAAGTGATGCAGATGACTATATTGGAAAATACATGAGCTATAGTTAAGGAAGAGTTATAAGTTTATTCAGTATTAATGTGAAGTCCTGAGACAAGAAGTAACTTGTGAATTTAGGGATTAGTGAAGGCTGAGAGTAGAATTACATTCTAAGGGTCTATGTGCACAAGGGATCCTCAGTCTTGGAGCGTAAAGAGTAGAAAGCTTATTAGGCAATAGTATAGGGATGATTATGCCAACATTCTTGTATTAGGTCTATATATGTGATTTCTTGAAAGAGACGCTGAGTGAAGAGTTATATGATTAGAAGCTAAAGTAGATTGACTGATACCGCAATGTTATAGACATTTGATAAGGGTTAAGTTATTTATTAGTAGCCAAGTTATGATTATGAGATCGGTGAAGAGTGATATGAATAAAGCATGGAAATAAGGATAGTTTCGTTTAGAGATAGTAATGTAATGAAACTTTCCCAGATGATGTTCTTAGTGATATAGAAAGAGAACACCGAGAGCTAATGAACTCAATGTATGCGAACAGGTAGATTTATTTGTGTTTAATACTTGAAGAGTATTTTTATGCCATTTGATCGTATATTTTTTGTAAGAAAAGACTGTTATTGTAGAAGATTAAGTAATAAAGACTTTGTTTTTGCCACGCATCTCAGTCAACACCTTTCTTATTTTGTCTTCCTTTAATAGGTATGCCCCCTCCCTCGGGGTGTGGGCGCTACACATATGTATTAAAAATTACCAAAATTCCCTCAATGCGTTTATTGAATTTGAGCACAATCCCATGTTTCTGAGTATGATATAAAGTGTAAAGAGTTTATTCATTTACTTCAAAGATAATGAATGAAAGAAAGAGAAGAGAAAGGCAGAATATTTTCATACAAAAAGATACATATTCATATGACAATTTTCTTGTATGCTATGTACTTTAAAAAACAATATACCGTAATGTATTAAGATACAAATGGAATATTGGTGCCATTAGATCAAGTATGCATGAGAGAGATAATTAGATTAGTCATTACTTACACGTTCAGATTTCTGTTTTTTAATTTTTGTTGTTGCTGTCAGTTGTTTACTTTCAAAGCAATATATATTTAAATTATTAATATACATATTGAATAGAAAGGAGTGACAGCCTGGTCACAGTCTGTAGTGAAATATTAGCAAAAGGCCAACAGATGAATTTAAAGATTAATATGAAAAAGATAGTCTTTGCTTTGTCATGATAAGGTTAATTGATATTGATTTTTGTAGCGAATGCCTTTTTGTGGTGAGATGTGGAGAATTCTCATGTTATAGTATCGAACCTGAACGACAACAAGAATTATGATAAGGCCCTTTTGTATCATATTTTATAATTATTTACCAACCGTTCCCACCTATTTCTTCCTATATTTAGCATCCCATATATGTTATAGGAAATATTGTTATCAAATAAGACTTTGTATTTTCAGTGATATTCATGTCCTTAATAAAAAGGTTATGAGTATTAAAGGTAATGAAAGAAATAAATTCATACAAAGAGATTCTCCAACCACTGAACAGATTATCTAGATAGTTCCCTTTCTATCCTGAAAGCTTTCTCATCTCTACTTATTACCCTCTACATAAATAACTATGGTTCTGTGAGGGGGTGTTATGATGCAAGCGAACGCCTGATAAATATCCATTTATCTCTTCCCCCACTCGTCTCGGTGTAATCCATCACTTCATTAGAGACCTGATGCTCTTTTCTTCCGCACATTACAAGTTCTTTTTCCGCTTAGCATTTTTGTTGCGGCTGGCATTATGAAAGTGGATAGCCCTTGTTATTGGAATGTTTAGGTTACTGTCTGAGTATATTGGATCATCTGTTACATAGGGTTTGAGATGATATCTAGATTTGGTAAGAAAAAATAACTAATACCAAACTTTGCTACAAATGTACTTACCGGTATATTGTTGCACTTGTATCAAATGATTCATGTGCCAATTATCCTTGCTCTTTGGTTGAAGATACTCTTGAGTTCTGGTAAATATAGAAAATAAGTTCCCACAGAATTCAACAAAACTTAAAGGGAATGTAAAATTAGAATAAAGTTCAATTTTGTGAAACAGATGCTACATGTGCCCTCCAAAACCATTATTGTGGCGTTACGGACATTACAGTTTTGTCCACTTTCATAAAGTGTTGATTTTAGATGACCAGTTCATTAACAATACAAATCGAACACTTACTTCACCTGCACACACATGCAATTTCTTTTCTTTAATTTCTTTCCACTTTTTATTCAGATACTTCCTAAACAAAATCTTTATACGTGACGCTTTATTCCCCTACATACACCTATGACAGCACCATGTTCCCCCCTTTCCGGCTGCTATCAACTTAAGCATTCTTGCTTATGATAGTTGGCCTCTGCATTTATCTTGATTATTTTTTTTTTACTTACCTCCATATTTTCAAGCTTTCAATTATGCATTTTTATTTGTGTGTATTCAAGTTGTCACTCTTTATGTAAATGAATTATATTATATACTATTATTGTTATTTGAATGTTTTATATTTGATTTATCAATAAATGCAGAAACATCTGCTAAAAATATTTTAAAAATAGTCAATTGTGTATATGAATATTTTCCATTCTTTTCTACTGTATGGTCAATTAGACACATTTTCCAAATGTTCCTTAGCAAATTAATAAGCATTTTTTCTAGGAGTTGCAATTTGAGGATAATTCGTTAAGAATTTTTGTAAGTATGCATGAAGTATGCCTAAACAGGTCTATTTTAATCTAATGACTTGAAAGCACTTTAATCAGTTATTTGTGATTTATGAAAAAATGATAATCATGATGATTACCATTTTGATTGTACATGCATATCTAATGATGTTCTAGCAAATCCATATAACCTAGCTTCTGCTGTATGTTATGCTTACAGAAAATGGTTAACTTCTAATTCATTTTCTGAATCTACTTGCAACAGATCATGTAGCTCCCTCTTGCTCACCGAATAGCTACTTTGAATGTACCAACTTGGAATGTATCCCCAAAGAGAACCTTTGTGATCTTCGACCAGACTGTCTTTTTGGAGAGGATGAGCAGCCATAATACAATTTGTGGTAAGAAATGCCAGTTGGCCCTTTATATCGATTTCTAGAGATAGATTATTCAAAATTCATTCCCTGAATTAATACTTGATATGAGAGCAAGGAATCTTTTATCTTTTATCTTATAATTTATCTCAATATCCATACCCTTTATGTGCCTTGACATTTTGTTTGTTTGATACTCACAGCTATATTGCTTTAATAAGTGCCTCAATAACTGCCTCTTATTGTTTCAAAATATACAATTGAACTTTAATCCATCTCTGCACGCATTGTATACACACCATTTTTGGTCCAGTAAGTTCTTTGTGTGCATGATCAGAATAAACAAAAACAGACTGAGTAGGCCTATACCCACTCATTTTTCAAATGATATGATATAGGGTTATCAAATTTGATTTTGAGTTGTAGTTTCATTCTTGCATGATACTTATGATGATGTACTAAAACCACTGAATTAAAAAAAAAAGAATATCCCAGCAAAAGCATGCTTGCACGCTAGCTTTCACCAGACATACCGGTAGTGAAAATTGTACAAGTATAACCCGTCACAGCCTTTTGCCCTAGAGACTTGCAGAATAATGTTTTTGTTTGTTTGTTTGTTTGTTTGAGTCTTTTTTTATAGCAAGACTAGGCCAGTCTTATATAATTTTGATGATTCCAAAACCTCACAGTATACTCCAATACTTATCCGCTACATGGTCAAACTTAATTTCTAATTGCTTCCAAACAGTTTCTTTCAAATTGCAAGTACGTGAACTCAACTGCAATTTTTAATATTTCCTACATTATCTGTGTTACATGTCCCACCACTGCCACCATGTTACATTATTGGGTTTGTTTAAGTGTTATTCTTGACTCAAACAGAAGAGTGTTTTAACATGTGGGGAAAGTGTATAGTAAAAAGCATGAGTGCGCCCTCTAACTGAATATACATTATAGTCTGTCAGTTGACTAAATCACTTAAAGGTACTATGTCCCATTTGCAGGCCAAAAAAATAAAAAAGGTTAAATTCCAACGGCATTTGAAGGATAATACTAATTTAAAACTTCCCTAAAGAAAGTGGGGCTTGAAAAAGTCTTCAAGTGGGAAAATAACGACTATTAGTTGTAAAATCGACTTAGGAGCTATAGAGCCAATAAGTAATAGTCTTGATTCTCAGACCATTGTACCGAATGGTCATACGTTTTATGCTGCGCAAAGATTCAATCAGTTTAACTTTGGCCATCAAAAGAAGTGGGTTATTGATGTAGACAAATGCTCATGTACCCTTTACAGCTCTTTTTATGTATGTTATTACCTGAGAAGAAAAAATGCCAGTTAGTCACTCAATGGTGTCTGACAGTGAAGTCTAGCAACTAAATGGGTTTCCTTTCATAATTTGAATATTAGGACACTGCTAACGTTTAAATTTCACTGATAGGACGTACATGACATATTCATGATTCCTGCAAAGTTCTACAGAATTTGAGGTTGGCTGCAAGAGGGACAGAGTACCTTTAAAGGCATCGTTTAACAATGTTGAATCTGAGATGCACGGCCCTACGTGTTATCAGTGTCTGTGATATGGTGTAATATGTAAAATTGCGCTTCAAAATGATAAAGAAGTGCCTCAAAAAAGTGAAAATCTTTGAGTGACCGGTTTTACCATACTCGTTTTCCCTAATAGACCGTCAGCAAAATTCAAAATTTGGTTTCGATTTTCAATCATAAATATCTTGATAATCAGACAGGTGATCGGCTTGTAAAAGTCATGGGGTTCCTGACTGACCTAAAGGTCTATAATTATCATTGCAGCATGAGCTAAGAAACAAAGTTACTGGATCCCTTTAAAAAGCATGAGTGGGTCCTCTAACCGATTATACATTATAGTCTGTCAGTTGACTAAATCACTTAACAGGATTCTGTTACAATCTGATAGAAATATAAATCTCAAAATATACCACCCTTGTTGTTTGTCCTTCAGGTCACATTCCGTATGGGGCCAAGTGTGACTTTGAGTCTGGACTCTGTGGATGGTACAACATTGTGGGCCTAGACCATCAGAACTGGACCAGGCATCATGGGTCAACCAAGTCCACAGGAACAGGACCTAGTGTGGACCATACTTTGGGAACTGAAGAAGGTATGATCAGATTATCGACAAATTGATAGTTATATAGTCGCTTAAACATTACAAAGACTCACCAATCTTGGGAATACTTTTTAATAATAGCTGGTATTGGGTAAAAGTAATGTGATAATGATCCATTAAAGTATTAAATGAATAGCTTCTGCTGATTTGTATTTTTTAAATTTCATGTCATTTGAAACTCAGTGTGTACTTTACAAAGTGCATTAATGAAACCATTGCACGATGGTGGAATTTGCATTTGATAGTAATGAGACATTTATGTGACTGTTCATCTAGGAGGTCAGTTAATATTTAACTATATCTCTAGGTTCTGTTTGGGATTAGTGAATTGAGAATTAAACTTATGGGTTCATATTACATTTTAAACAATTGTGTACAGCTAGAATATGTAAAATTAACTGCAAATAACTTTACCTAGCAGGTTTATGGTAAATGAGTACCAAGAAATCAAGATAACATTAAATCTTGCTCACTGTTGCCAGGCCAGACTTGGGTTTCGACGATCGAGTCTTCTTACATCTGTTAAGGGCCAGCATAAGAGCTCTAATTTGGTTTGAACCTGTCATTTCATTGAGCAATGTAGTTGCTCCCAACCCCTGAACGTTGTACACCTGTAGGCATCACAGTTAACTTAATTGCTTATTGGAGGAGCCTTAGCTATTCTTACATTTACCTCTTATGTATTACAGGTTACTACTTTTATTACGAGACATCAGGAATTGGAACAGGTGATGAGGCATACATGAGGAGCCCGGTGTTTGAAGCTCCGCCCGCTACTACCAGAAATAGGACCAATCCCCTGTACAAGGCATGCAAGGTAATATTCTGTGGAAGATACAATTATTAAGTGATTAAGTTGTTCAGGAAATCCATTTTAAGATGCTTGAAAAATAAAATTGCTTGTTTGAAGGTGCTTGAAAACAGTGGAAAGGTTTGAGCAAATAAAAATGCTTTAAATATACAAGAGTTATTTGTTTCTTTACTCTTTCTCTCTCTCTCTCTCTCTCTGTGCTCTTCTTCTTTTTTGTCCCTTTGGAAAACGCAAATAGATATAAGTGACCATAACTTTTGACAAATTTAACTTATTGGAGAAATAAGTCAATTGTTTGTTTTGTCTTGTTTTGCTGAATAGCACTTTAGATGGATGTAACACCAAACCCATACGTTAAATGATACCATTTATTTGGTTTAGGCAAATATAGTTCACTTTTAATGTACCCATTATCTTCTAATTTTTTCTATTATGAATTCTCACTAGATTTAAGTCATGCATTGTACCTTAAAAATCTGTCGAAATGTCCTTAGTCAGGCACGCCAATAATGTATCTGTTTTGTGTTGCATTCACAAAATATGTACAGAATTTATAGCTATATTTCACTTTCTTTTTCCTCTGAGTGTCAACAGTTTGTATTAAGTGAGATTAAGTAAGTTTATTTAGATACATTTATTGATACTATGTCTTATATGCTGTTTTCTGTTTTTCCCAGTTTCGCTTTGCGTACCACATGTATGGTATGGAGCCCAGCACGCTTAAAATCTTTGCCATCTCTGCAGAAAATCCAGACATTTCAAGTCAACTCTTTAGCGAGTATAATAGGGACATCGATAGATGGGTAGAAATTGTTCAGCCAATGCCTGATGTTATTTCAGACAGGTGGGATATGTTTTGCAATTACCTGTGTGTCTCAAATTCTAAAGGTGAAACTAAATTTGCCACAGTATGGTTTTAGTTTTTTCTAAATTTGTGATTAGAGATCCATGTCTGGAGGTTTTTCTTCGTGAAAGAGGTCACATGTCTCAAGGTCATCTCTGTATACCCCAATACAAGTGAAATGCTATTTCTTTGATGGAAAGGAAACTCAACTAAAGTTATCATTGTAGAGTACTGGTCCCAGTTATTGCACAAAATTATTATCAAACACAACTCCCCAAATCGAACTCAAATCCTAAATTAAGACTTCACTTTGTTTTAAGCCAAGATAAAATTCATTTTTTGTTAGAGTTCCATATGTAATTTGTATGTATTGAATATTCTATGATCGTTATGAAGATCGATCATATAGATATATTTATGCTTTAATCTTATATGTATTTTGTATTGATTTTTTTAATAAATCAATATCACCTTTATATTCTGAATTTTTAAAACTTTAATATCAACTTCGACCAGATACTTTATACAAATTGAAGCGACAAGGGGTAGAGGCTGGAAGGGGGATGTTGCCATTGATGACATCTCGCTCAGCCCAGAATGCTTTGAGAAAAACAACACTTCTGTAGGGTCAACTGCAGGGTACACCAACACATGGTCTTCAGGCCCAAGGACTGCCAACATGACATCATACCCCACCCCCAGCAAAGTCATGACAGGTATGTAGAAGAGTAATTATACTGTTTAAGTTCTTTCTATCTATTCTCATGTGAAACTCTATTCATTTATCATTCATGATGTACCTGATGATGGTAAAGAATGTTATTGTATTAAAAATAGAAGTAAACACATGTATTTAGTTTGTATAACTCATTGTATAAATCTTTAAGAAAGAAAACTAAAAATCTTTTTTATCCCTGCCCTAGCTTGCACCCGTCCCCCCTCTCACTCTCGGTTATGTCTTCCCTACCATTTTCAACAATGTATTAATTATGATTAATAGTATAAATAGATAAAGATTAATTGTGTAACAAGATATACAGCAAATACAGGCATGTTATGCAAAACTAATTTTTCTGCTACTCGGAGTAAACCTCATCTTTTATTTATGTTAGAGTATTGAAAAGCTTACCAGTATCTTTTATTCATGTTTAAGCAATTACATTACGGTCTGATAACATACAAACTGCAAATTGTCAACTTCATCTTATAAGAAAATCTGAAATTTGATCCTAGATCCAACCAGTGGAGTAAAAACCACTGTGGCGACCACTGTTAAAAAGGATCCCGTTCCAAACGTTAACTTCACCTTCACAACCTGCGGCACCCATGGACCTTATGGACCAACCCAAGCTAGATGTATTGCAGCCTACCGCTACACTAACCTGACAGTCAGGGTGCTTAATCATGAAGATTCCATTGCATTGGCAGGGGTGCAAGTCTGGACAGCACCAGAGACGAGGCTCTACAGGTGATTTCTCGAAAGGGATTCCTGTTATATAGTCCCAGATTATATTTAGAGCACTTATGTAATTTTGTTAAAGATACCATATCCCTTTTGCAGCCAACATCAAATTCTGTAGAACTTTGCAGGAATAATGAATATGTCATGTATGTCCTATCTGTGAAATTTAAACATTAGCAGTGTCCTAGTATGCAAATTTTGCAAGGAAACCTGTTTACCTTCTAGACTTCACTGTCAGACACTATTGAGTGACTGACCGACATCTTTTTTTCTTCGGTATAAATAACATACACAAAATGAGCTGTAACAGGTACATGAGCAGTTGTCTATAACCCACTACTTGTAATTGCCAAAATTAAAGTGATTGATTCTTTGTGCAGCATAAAACGTACAACCATTCGGTAGAAGGGTCCACAAATCAGACTATTACTTACGTGATTACAATCACTTAAGTCGATTCGACAACTAATGGTCGTTATTTTCTCACTAATGGCCATTTTCAAGCCCTTTCGTTTTGAGGAAAGTTCTAAATAAGTATTTTCTTTCAAATGCCGTTGGAACCTTTTCATTTTTTTGATCTGCAAATGGGACATAGTACCTTTAAGATGTATGGAAATAATTTCCTAGCGAACCAAGATAGCAGTGTGTACATACATTGAATTTTTAGTTATTTGGGGGAATGGAAATTTTTAGCATAGTGTCAATTGTTTATTATTTATCCTTTAACTTTATTCTCTTCTGAACAGTTGATTTTGATGAGGGATAGAGTATATGTATGAGTGTGCGTGTATGTGTGTGTGTGTGTGTGTGTTTGAGAGATAGAGAGAGAGAGAGAGAAAGAGAGAGGGAGAAAGAGGGGTGAGGGAGAAGACCTTACTCTGTATTTTAATTTGGTGCTTTTCAATTCAATTTAATTCTATTCGATTCTATTCAATTCTGTTATTCATCCAAATTCACAAGAATACATGGAAATTTGTTTTGGTCGTATATTGTAAAAATATGTAATATATATATATCATTTTAAAGATAAAGACCAGTAATGGTCATGCAATCGCAGTGTAAAAGAAACGTGAAATCGATCAGAAAAGGTTGATCATGCATCTAGCATATAAGTATTGGTGTGTACTGCAAGGTTCTGGAATAAAATGATAAGAAATTTGGCCCAGTCTTGGTAAAGTTACAAGCACTGTACACAGAAAGATGTATATGGGACTACGTGACACGTGCGCGACACGTGCGAGATATCTATCAGGTCAAAATAGATATAATAATTTACCAAATATATCAATTAGTAGGCGGTTTCTCGGCAAAATGTGTATCATCACATATTAGTCAAAACATATTCTTTCACATGATTGGTAATAAGAGCTTCCATTTCATTTTTTGAGAGGGGGGCTTTTTCAAAACTGGTCTTTACCTTTAAATTGTTTTGTCTTACTGTTTATAAATTTGTAATTGGGATTAAAACTGTAGTTTTAATTCTGTATTAAAACAAAATGCAATTAATGCCATTTTTCATCCCTAAACATTGTTCACACATATGACCTAGTAAACTGCCACAGCAAAATATACGCTGTTTTAGGTATGAATAAATGGCAAATGGGGTTGAGAAAAATCAACTGACTTTGTGCGTAATGCCATTTTATTGAACTTTGCCATATTTTTTAATGCGGTTTACCATTCAATAATTTTTCGTTATCAGTTCTGTTTTTAAAACATTGATCAATTCTGAAACTCCAGTATAACTGCCTATGGTGCTAGCGGAGGGGCCGGTACGCTTATTTTGCGCTAATTTTTAAACCATGGGTTAAATGTAAACCTCCTTTGTGAATTTGGGCCATAAAGTCTACATTTGCAAAGACTATGTGGTAGAAATGCCAGTTTGTTTTGATAATATTTTGAACAACTCAATTCCTCTCAATAAATGGAGCATGGTATTGTAACAAAAATAGGACTGTGTGCAAAGCAATTTTGTTGTTGTACTCATGCATTGGGTGTATTCTTAAGGCTCTGAATCAAAAGTTGTGGAGCCAAACCTTAAAATATAAGCCATTGTTTTGAAAGAATCAATCCAATCCAATCTTATCGACTCTTAGTCCAAACTACTTGTTCAACACAAATATTCTCCTTTGGCAAGAAAAGGGTTATGTTTTATATGTAATACCTGGACGTTTCAGTAGCGTGAGGATTGAGGTGAATCCCCTGTAATTCCCTTCTAGGAAAAGCCTTCTATCATCACCATGAAAGACCTGTTAAAGATGTCCAAGGATTATATGACATATGAGTAGAACCTTTTAGAGTTTTATTTGTATTTGGATTTATTTATTAAACCATAAAATAACATCAAATGAAAACAGTAACAGTATATCAATTTAAAGAGTAAATAAAATTATGGTTAGGAATACTGAAAAGCAAAATGCTTGTAACATGGTAATTCTGAAAGAAGAAAAAGGGAAAAACATTTAAAGATTTAAAAAACAAAAACAAGACTACATACATTATCACACACAGACACACAAACGCACGCACCCTCACAGATACACTCACACGTACATGCCTGGGACTTCAATTTAAAATATAAAATGGGGGGGGGGGGGTCATATATAAATCATTCATCATACAAATGCATATATCCATACAATTTCAGTAGAAGGAGCCTAATAACATTGAATTTTACAATAATTTAATTTGCAATAGTTAAAGTTATAGTAAACTAAGAAAATGACTCCTTCATAATTCCATTTTAGGAAAAGCCTTCATCCATCACGATGAAAGACCTGCTACAGATCACCCAGGATGTAGCTCAAGGATGCCGCTACTTGGAATCCAGACGCTTCATCCATCGAGACATTGCAGCCAGGAACATCTTACTCACCACCAAGGAGTCTGGTAGAGCTGCAAAGATTGCAGACTTTGGCATGGCCAGGGATATTTACAGGTAAGAATTTGTATCTGCTATTTGTCTTTGCAAGCATTTGATGCGATGGCTGCACTAGAAGATGGATTGCTCCACAAATGTACCCCCGAAAAAAGAACAAGATACTTGATAATGTTACAAACATGAAGGAGTTTTGAAATTCTTTTCATTTTCAGCTATTTCATATGGTAGTTGAAGGAATATAGTAATGATTGTTGAATTTGTTCATTCCTTACTTTTGCTGTAGCCCTAAATAATCCTTGATCGGCATTCTATATATTAAGAGGAAGAGGGATTCCAAAGGGAAAAAATAGAATGACTGTTAAGATATGAAGTATTTAAAAAAAATGATTTATTAACCAATTTTTCAAGTTTATGTCTAAATATATATACAGTCAAACCTGCTTTAGTGACCACCTGTCTACAAAGACCACATTTTTTGTTTCCCTTGAAAATGGTTTCTCATTGAGACATGTACTAAATGAACCTGTCTGCAAAGACCACTTTTTGTGTTTCCCTTTGGCAGTAGCTATAGACAGGTTTGACTATATATGTACCTACGTTCCTTACTTGTGTCTTGTTTGTTTGAAAGGGCTGATTATTATCGCAAAGGAGGACAAGCTCTGCTCCCTGTGAAATGGATGCCTCCTGAAGCATTCCAAGATGGCATCTTCACATCGAAAACAGATGTCTGGTATGTTGATTTTGTTTTCTTGTCGCTTAAATCCCCACTGCACTACTTATAGCTAATTGGGCCCTCTATATAGCCAACAATGCCTAAGTGGTATCCATTGATTCCCCATGATGCCCTTTTTCTTATGTTAATTGAGAGCTGATTTGATGAGATAACCACCTGCCAGTGACCTTGCAGGGAGGTCTAATCCCTCCATGCCAAACTAGTGCAGAGGGGCTTTATGTCCTATATACTTGTAATTAGAGTTCATAGAGAGCATAGATCCAAATTGATGACACTGTCTGTGACATCATGTTAGGAATAACAAATTATTATGTAAGTGGCATATTTGTGATTATGACAAGTTTAATCACTGAAATGGTCTCTTTTTTGTTCTTCAGAGATCAAATCTAATTGTTCTGATTATTTGAGGAGGTTTTTTACACCATTCTCCTTTCCACCAACTTTCATCAAACTTCAGTTCAATTTGAATTCAATCAAATCTATTAATTTTATAAAATCATGCTAGTATATTATCATTTAAAATTGTTTAGGGTCTAGCAACTTGTAATTCTCAACTGTACTCCAAACAACAAATCAAGGTGGCAAAATATGCATTGTAGTTTTCCTGTTGTAATTTTAAGTATTGTTTTATTGCTATTGATATGCCATGGCTAAATAAACTGCAGAATACTCCACCGTGCATCGGTACAAAGTATTGGGATAAGGGTTGGGATTTGGATTAGGATTAGCAATATGGTCATTTGGATCAAGATTTGGGTTTGGGTTAGGGTTACTTGTGTGGTAGACTTTTTATTTATAGAGTCTTGGTGCCCTTCTGGCTTTCAGCACACGACACCATGTTTTTGTCTTATGTTTTATATATTACATGTTATACCAATGGAAAACAAATTTCTGTATTATATTATGGACAATAAAATCTTGAATCTTGGTAGGGTATTTTGCTGTTCCAGAATACTACATTTCTAAAGTGTTTGTGTTCTGTGCAGGGCATATGGTGTGCTGCTATGGGAGATCATCTCCTTAGGATTCATGCCGTATCCTGGGATGAGTAATCAGGAGGTGATCCAGTTTGTATCAGCAGGAGAGAGGATGAACCCACCAAGAAGCTGTCCCCAACCTGTGTAAGTATCAATGCATAAGTTATACTGAGGGGTCAGTGACACAAAGTCATAACTCCATTTTGGCCATTTTTAGAAAAAGTGGTTTATGTGTCACTGAGCACTTGGGCCTTTAGAGAAAGTTGAGTTCTGGGAAGAGGTGAAAAAATAATTTGTGAGCGTTATCATTGCTATTATGCAAGTGTGAAGAACATCAGATAAAAAATGTTCCCTGAAAAGCATTGCTCTTTGAATGCTTTCATGTTCTAAATATGGCATGTAACAACTTAAAAATCGGGACAGATTTTTATGCCACATGTGTGTGTAGCCTCATATACATCATTTTGTGTACATGTAATTTTTACAAATAATGGTCCAAATTTCTTATCATTTTGACGATTCCAGAACCTTGCAGTACACACCAATACTTAAATGCTATAGATGATCAACCTTTTCTGATCAATTCCACACCTTTTCTTTCACAATGTTATTGCATGACCAGAACTCAACTTTATCTTTAAGGAGTCAAGTCTATGTTTCACTAGCCATTGACTTCAATTGAGTGGAATTAAGTCTTTGTGTTTCCTGGAAAACCCACATTTATCTGAACATTTTGATATCAAATACTCATCTTGGCGTAATATGGAGTTATGTCTTTGTGTCACTGATCCCTCGATATAGAGTGTGATCGATGCCCGATAGGCTGTCTCCCACAAGCTCTTTGATTTTCATCATTTTCACATATTTGGCTTGATAGTAAAGTTAGCTCAAGTTAACAGTCTCTTCTTCATTTTACCATGAATCTAGCTGACAAGATTTTTTTTTAAAGATTTCTTCATTTGTTTCTCATGCATTTGAAGGAGCAACATTTTCAGTTGCTGATTGTAAGTCGCTGTACACTGTATGTGTAATGTTACATGGATTCATGATCTCTCAGCCTCCATTGACCAAATCTGTCTGAATGACAGTCAATGATAAGGATAATGGGGTGGTTTTCTTTTTTGTTGATTTTGTGCTTGCCTGGCGCCAGCAATATGATAGTTTCAAACACCAGCCTCTTTCTACACCCGTATGTTTCTACATCCACATTGCATGGTTTTTGACTGCCTTCAAGAAAGTTTCTAGGACTCCCTACAGCCTACTATCCTAATCCAACGTCATCTTTTCTAATAAAAATTCTTCGAGTACGGTGATGTCAATCTCAATCCTGGGCCCAGTAATTTCAACCACACTGACCAGATTGGTATGGTTCCTGACGGTCATCCTACCGATATCTGTCCTGTCTATGATGTATCGTACGTGTTGAAATGCAACCCATCCTTAGTGGGTTCAAATCCCACCACTGCCCCCATGTGATGTTTCATTTGTTAGTTAGAATGAGGGAGTCCTGAATAATAACTCAACAAACGGTGATTTGCTGTGCCTTAACTCTGTCAGGCTGTAAGGTTTATTCTGATGCGCTAGTGCCTTTTGGTAAGGCATTAATCCTCATTACCAGGTCCCTCAGAGAGGACCTAAAGCCGTCGGTCGTCTGGTTGCTTACTAACAAACATTTATGCTTTCTTAGCAGCCAGGTAAAATAACCACCACCACCACGACCAAATAAGTTATATTGGAAGGCTCTCTAAGCCCTCTTGCATTATAAATATTATAGTCTCAAGTAGATCACGTAAAAAGGAATTTGGTTACACCGACCAAATCCCACCAGTTCCTCTCTGTGATGATGTGTAGGGAGCAATCCTTGATCATGGGGTATCTAGACATGCTGGGGAAGTTGGGAGAGCGTGTTGTGAAAAGAGGACACATTGTGGACAGAGAGCAGGGGGATGTTTCACAAAGATCCTATAAGATGAACTTATCTCTAAGTTGGACTTTACAATTATGGAAAGCTGTTAGCATCTATGTAAATATTTTGTAAAAGTTTTTTTAAAAGGCAGAAAATGTTGATTCAAATCATTCATATTTTCTATTATCATGGGAGATTTCATGTTCTTGATGTGGAATTTAGGAAAAGTCTAAAATACTTGAATTTTCGCTTTTGAATATATTTCATTATAAGACTACAAATGGCTCCCCATAATATTTATGTCCAACTTAGAGTTAAGTTCGACTTAGGATCTTTGTGAAACACCCCCAGGAAGAATGAAACAAAGACAACTTTCTGCTGTTGCCTCTAATCTTTCTTCTTACATGCCTTTTGCTATTAATAGTTATCAAAATAGAGGTATATAATTCACCCCATTCGATGACAGTCAACTCTTTTAACCCTTTTGATCTGCTTTGAATCTTAGATTTAATTTGATGTCCCAGTGCTGGCGTCACATCCCTGAAGATCGACCACCATTCACCACCATCTTAGAAAGCATCAATTACTGCTTACAGGTGAGTGCAGGACTAGACCTGATGATATAGCTCTAGTGATAATAAATATTGCATTTTTTATTTAAAAAAAAGTTATGTTACAAAATTGTTTTTTCAATAAAAATTTAACCTTACTCCATCAAGCCCTTCATAAAGAAAATAAGGCATGTGCAACTTTGTTCAGATAATACTCTACCATGTTGGTTGCCTGACTAGTATCTCACTTGTGGTGGCATCAAAAGGACTTCATAATTAATCACTTTGGCAAAGTTGAAGAACTGAAATGTCTGACTCTTTACACAAATATGTTTAATGGCTCAAATGATCATAAGATGCTACCATGACAAGTATGATTTTTGAATATGTATTGTCTTTGGAAGCCTTTCAAATAGATAAATTGATCATTCACAATAATGACTGGGCAACTAAATTACTTTAGTATGAACTTTTCCACTGTTTGCAGGACCCAGATGTTTTAGAAACACCACTTCCCAAGGTGCTGACTGAACGGAAGAAACAGCTGACAATCATGAGACCTCCAGACCCCAAGAGATCCCCTGTCCTCAGAGTGGAAAGGGTCATCAGGTCATGCGAGCCTTCACCCTTCAGTAGCCAAAGGGTGTCGCCCCTCCATCACACCCCATCCCCAACACACCAGCCCACATGGGTTGGGCAAACGGGGGAAGGGTCATCCCAACAGGGGCTTCATCATCAGGATGAAGGGATTGATAGAACTTACAATGGGAAGAGGTTTCAGGACCATTCACCTCTCAACTCATCTTCGATACTACTCACCAACAAATCGTATGGATTCAGGAGTCTTGCAAGAGACATTACAGGAGATGCTAAAGACAGGACTTGCCATAATGGAGTAACTGAGAATTCATCACAAATGAATAACCTCAGTCCAACCAGGCATGTTAATGAAACAGAACAATCGAGTGAGATGTCGACTCTGCTTCACGTAGGGAGAAGCGGGTCTTCAAGAAGTGACTCTCTAAGCGATATCCCTGCAGGAAGCAATCAGGAACCTGGATGGTATCCTGATCCAACATGTAAACCGAAGAGATCTGCGAGCATGCGCCACGGCGAGGCATCCAGGGAGCACACCAAGTCTCCCTTGACACGAGGCCTCAGCTGGACCCAAAGGCCTCCTCAATCACAAGACAATCAAAACCCGCAAGATACCAATATCCATCGTTCCACAAGTCTTCCTGGTATCCCGGTCATCGTGACCACGCCCAACCCTATGTCGAAGGACAACATCGCATTCAAATTGCAGCTGAAGACCGCCACCAATGGCAGCTTCTCTCGGGCTGGAAGCTTGAAGAAAAAATTGAGCAAAAAGTTGTCGAGGGACTACCGTAATACAGATAGCGAACCGCTGGTAAGTGAAGAGAACATTATCAACAAACAATCGCAGGATACGTTTTTATAGCGCTGGTTAAGAAGCATTCTGTCATTTCTTTTGCTTTTACCTGGAATATCTGATGACTCCAATTCACTCTGGATGATTACAGCATTTGTTATTTGACCTTTCTGCAAAGACAATTTAAATACGGAAATGTTGATATCTGCTATCAAAGTGCTGTAGAAATATATTTGAAATTGTTGATACTCTGTACATGTTGATTAACCATCATATGCTGCATATCTTATTTACTCCTACTTAATATCCTTAAATTAAGCTGATACGTTGAGATGTGCACATTCAATGAACAAAATAATGTATGATTTTAAAGCACAAATTGAAATATATGTATGTTGCAATATTACAAAACACAGAATTATTATTATTCATATTAACTTTTTCTACTGTTTTAATAGATGAATTTTTAATGCTGATACTTGTCTATCTTGGAATATATATGCAATAACAGATAATGATAAATCTTATGTATATGTTGGATTATTTTATATTTATATGTAAATGCTTCAGCCCTGTACGTGATGTTGCATTTGCAAGCTAAGAGGGATATGGCAAATCTTGTGTAGACCAGTTTTAGGGGATCCAGTTTGATGGACTATATAAATCAGGCGATAATACTTAAAATATTATTTTCTTCAATAAAGTCTTTCAATGACCAAATCTTTCAAAACAATTTTTTAGTTTCGATGATCAGAATTTTTTTTGTTAACACTAATTTTCTAGCAACATTTTGTGTGTGCGCGCCTTAATATGATGTCAATAAAAACATTGTATCGTTTGTATATTTTGATGTAACTGATCTCTTTGGAATATAAATCAGAACTATTACCCTGTCAGAAACATTGATCAAATATACCATGCACTGAGAGGCTTCTGTCGAAAATATGGATTCTCCAAGATGACTGCCATATAGTACTACTTTCCAAGGGGGGTCATTTTAATGGTGCCTCAAAAAAAGGGCACAATATATTTGATTTACATTTCTCATCGAAATAAGAAAATAAAAGTGTGAACTTTAAAGAAAGAAATCTTTGTCCAAAGACTCATGGTGTATTGCTGGTTAATAATAATATTAATAATAATAGGATTTATATAACGCCTCTTCTAGAGGATACAAGGCGCTGTATTTTTAGTCTTAAGGACAAATTAAAAATTGTAGAGGTATTTTTTCAGATGTTCTTTTTAAGAAATCAAGCGAAGATTTGAAGGATTTGAAGCCAGCTTTTTTCAGTTATGAGAAAGGAAGGAGCTGATAAAGTTATGTAAGCAGACAGGGGCTTAGCTAAAGGGGGGGGGGGGGGGTGTATCAGGATATTGTCTGTAAAATTGCGCTGCTGTCAGTAAAAAAAGAGAAAAGGGGGAGGGGAAAATGAGAAGAAAAGAAAAGGAGAGAAGGAAAAGAAAGGAAAGAAGAGAAAAGTGAAAGAAAAGATGAAGGAGAGGAAAGAAAAGAAAAGAAAGAAAAGGAGAAAAAAAGAGAAAAAGGAAACAAAAGAAACAGGAGCTGAAAGAGAGGAGAGAGAAAGAAGGGGGTAAGAGTCTGAGAGAAAAGGGGTGGGAGTAAGAGAGAGAGAGGGAGGGGGATGTAGGGTGGAGTCACCATATAGAGGGAGCAAGAAAAATATGCACAGATAATTATGTTGCTGTGTCTGTATTCTTGCTCGATCCTCGTGTACTATATCAATGCAGAAGTTTGAAGTCGGTGAGATGTATTATGTTGGTCGGCCGGCAATTTTATTTTCCCTAAGAACTTTGTGACTTTTTATCAGACAAAGAAACGTTTTTGAAAATTCAGACAATGATTAAAAGTTGGTACAACGAATCGTCTTCTTTCTCTAATAATTTATTGAAACTGAATTCAGACTAGGATAAAGAGTTGAAAACAGTACAACGAATTGTCTTCTTTCTCTAATGATTTAATGAAACGTCAAAGCTTCAACGCGTTGCGCGGGAGGTGGGCGGGGAACTGGGGGAAACCGGAGAGAATTAAAAACTTTCATTTTCAGCAAAAATGATGAACTTACCCCTTGCCATTTTTGCCAAAAGGTGGCGATTTCAAAATTTATCCTAAAATTGTCCTTTCGCCCCATTTTGGAAACAAAAGGGGATCAATATAATTCTGAAGGCAATCTGGGACTTTCATGATGAGGAAACAAAGAAGATTGAAAATTTTCAATTTTGGCAAAAATGGTGAACTAACCACATGCCATTTTTGCAAAAAAATATGAAAACCACCATCCCATTTTATTGAAACGATCCCCATCTCTCTCTCTCTTAATTCATGTTGTACAACTTTTAGAAAAGTGCAGTTGGGTCTAAACACTGAATACACAATGTAAAGAATAAAAAAAGTTAATCCAGTATATACCCACTATGCAGGCGCGGATCCAGGATTTCTTGGGGGGGCCGAAATTTGAAAATATGCGAGCCAAATATTGGTACGTAATGGTGACCAGCAGTGACGTAATGAGCAAAAACGTTAGGGGGGGGGGAACAAAAAATCTGCATCACCAATGCCCAGGAAGCTCAGGGGGTATGGGCTATTAATGGCGGCCAGATGAGCATATTTTGATAATTCATGACACTGGCAGGTGACTAATTGGCGTGGGGTCCTGGGGGTAGAGCCCCCGGAAGCTCAGGGTTTTCAGACGTTTACTTACGGTCAGATGAGCATATTTTGATACCTTATTTGTGACACTGGCAGGACACTAATTGGCGTGAGGTCCAGGGGGCGGAGCAGGGGGGTTGCTATATAAAGGGGGGTGTTAGGCTACTGTCAGTAAAATTACGCTGCCATCGGGAAAAGTGAGAAAAGGGGAGGGAAAAAACGAGAGGGAAAGGGAAAACTGAAAGGAAAGAAAGGGAGAGAAAGGGAAATAAATTAAATTACCGACAGATTAGCATCTAGAGGACTGCTTTAGGGCCATAGATGGGGTCCAGGGGGCAGAGCCACCGGAAGATCAGGTCAATTCAATTATGGTCAAATGAGCATATTTTGATACCTGTTTTGTGCCACTGGCAGGTCACTAATTGGCCTAGGGGCCCGGGGGCAGAGCCCCCTGAATCCGACGGGTTTTAAGCATTATATGACCGACATATCAACATCCAGGGGTCCGCTTTAGGGCGCTAGGTTGGGTCCAGGGGGAGAGCCCCCAGAAGCTAAAGGGTTTAAGGCGTTTAAATACGGTCAGGTGAGCTTTTCTTTTAATACCCTATTTGTGACACCGGTAGGACACCAACTGAAGTGGGGTCTACGGGGCAGAGCCCCCGGAAGCTCAGGGGTTTTTGGCATTCAATCACGGTCAGATTAGCCTATTTTGATACGTCATTATCTTATGAGTACGCCAGTGCCCCCCCACCCCGATCTACACCTTGTTGGCGCAAACAATTTGCAACCCATCTTTCCCTTTCTCTCCTCTTTGCTGGGGGAGGGAGGCAACAGCCTTTCGCCTCCCCCCCCCCCCCTGATACACACGTTGTTGGGCAGATTAATCCCAACTGATCTCCCCTTCATTTCACTCTTTTTTTCTTCCCTTTTAGCTCTCCTCTTTCCCTTTCTTCTCTCTTATTGTTGGTGGGGGAGGGGGAGGCAATGGTCTATTGGCCCCTCCCCCCCCCCCCCGATCCACAACTTGTTGGAGGGAAAATTGCAACTGATGTCCCGCTTTTTTCCAACCCTTTATTTCCCTTTCCTTTTCTATTATTTTTAAGATAAAGGGGGGGGGGGTCAACAGCCTGGGAGGCACCCTTTTCCCCCTCCCATCTCCTTCTTTTTCCCCCTTTTTCTTTACTTCTTCCTCTTTTATTTCTCTTCTCTTTCCCTTTCCCTTCTTTTCCTTCTCTCTCTCTTTTTGCTGGGGGGGGGGGGGCCCGCTTCTCCCCCTGGATCTGAGCCTGGTGGTAGAGATAGGAGGGTGATACAGCTAGGATGGTGGTAGAGCTAGGATGGTAGAAGGGGAGGATAGTGTGAGAGGGAGGATAGTGGTAGAGGGAGGATTTTCATGGTCGTATACGATGTATATTGAGCGGAAGAACAAGATAGGTGGTCTTAGTAGAGGTAGGATGGTAGTAGAGGTAGATTGAAATGATCTGTAGGATGGTGGCCGAGGTAGGATGGTAGAACGGGTGGGTGGTAATAGACGTAGGTAGGGTGGTGGTAGAGGTATGGTGGTAGTAAAGGTAGGATGGAAGAACTAGTAAGGTGGTGTTCGTAGACGTAGGATGGTAGTAGAGGTAGGATGTTCATGATCGTATAGGAGGTAGATGAGTGTGAGACAACTAGGATAGAAGAAGAGGCAAGATGGAAGAACAGAAAGGGTGGTGGTAGAGGTAGGATGGAAGAATGGGTAGGGTGGGGGAAGAGTGGGGGTGGACGTAGGATGGTAGTAGAGGTAAAATAAAAGAACAGGGAGGGTGGGGTAGATGTAGGATGGTAGTAGAGGAAGGATGGTAGTAGAGTAGAATGTAAGAACGGGTAGGGTGGGGTGGGGTGGGGTGGATGTAGGATAGTAGTAGAGGTAAAATAGAAGAACAGGTAGGGTGGTAGTAGACGTAGGGAGGTACAACGTGTAGGGTGGGGGTAGAGTGGGGGGGGGGTGGACGTAGGATGGTTGTAGAGGTAGGCTGGGAAAACAAGTAGACGGTAGACGTAGGATAGGGTAGACGTAGGATGGGGTAGATGTAGGATAGTAGTAGAGGTAAGATGGTAGAGTGGGTTAGGTAGGGGTAGCTGTAGGATGGTAGTATATAGAGGTAAAATGGAAGAACAGGTAGGGTGGTGGTGGGGTGGATGTAGGATGGTAGTAGAGGTAGGATGGTAGTAGAGGTAGGATGGTAGTAGAGGTAGAATGGAAGAAGGGGTAGGGGTGGGGGTAGAGTGGGGGTGGACGTAGGATGGTAGTAGAGGTAGGATTGTAGTAGAGGTAAAATGGAAGAACAGGTAGGGTGGGGGTGGGGTGGATGTATGATAGTAGTAGAGGTAGGATGGTAGTAGAGGTAAAATGGAAGAACAGGTAGGGTGGGGGTTGGGTGGATGTAGGATGGTAGTAGAGGTAGGATGGTAGTAGAGGTAGGATGGTAGTAGAGGTAGGATGGAAGAACGGGTAGGGTGGGGGAAGAGTGGGGGTGGACGTAGGATGGTAGTAGAGATAAAATGAAAGAACAGGGAGGGTGGGGTAGATGTAGGATGGTAGTAGAGGAAGGATGGTAGTAGAGGTAAAATGGAAGAACATGTAGGGTGGGGGTGGGGTGGATGTAGGATGGTAGCAGAGTTAGGATGGTAGTAGAGTTAGGATGGTAGTAGAGGTAGGATGGTAGTAGAGGTAGGATGGTAGTAGAGGTAGGATGGTAGTAGAGGTAGAATGGAAGAAGGGGTAGGGTGGGGGTAGAGTGGGGGTGGACGTAGGATGGTAGTAGAGGTAGGATTGTAGTAGAGGTAAAATGGAAGAACAGGTAGGGTGGGGGTTGGGTGGACGTAGGATGGTAGTAGAAGTAGGATGGTAGTAGAGGTAAAATGGAAGAACAGGTAGGGTGGGGGTGGGGTGGATGTATGAATCTAGTAGAGGTAGTAGAGGTAGAATGGAAGAACAGGTAGGGTGGTAGTAGAGGTAGGATGGAAGAATGGGTAGGGTGGGGGTAGAGTGGGGGTGGACGTAGGATGGTAGTAGAGGTAGAATGGAAGAACAGGTAGGGTGGTAGTAGATGTAGGATGGAAGAATGGGTAGAGTGGGGATGGGGTGGATGTAGGATGGTAGTAGAGGTAGGATGGTAGTAGAGGTAGAATGGAAGAACAGGTAGGGTGATAGTAGAGGTAGAATGGAAGAAGGGGTAGGGTGGGGGTAGAATGGGGGTGGACGTAGGATGGTAGTAGAGGTAGGATTGTAGTAGAGGTAGAATGGAAGAAGGGGTAGGGTGGGGGTAGAGTGGGGGTGGACGTAGGATGGTAGTAGAGGTAGGATTGTAGAAGAGGTAAAATGGAAGAACATGTAGGGTGGGGGTGGGGTGGATGTAGGATGGTAGCA